ACAGTTATAACTTAGGTACCTCCTCTCTAATAGTATTCCAAGGCGAAAAAGTTTTAGGAGTCTTGGTGCCCCATGATATAAAGTCTTACGCTAACTGTAACAAAAATGCCTTCCGAGCAAACCTTGCACTGGTAACATTGGAGCGCATTTTTGGCTAGTTTGACGGAAGATTTTTCCATACAATCTTCAGTAGTTTTATCCGTCCCCATTTAGAGTACGGAAACATAGTATTTCCCCACTCACTTCCAAAGGATAAGGACACCCTGGAGCGTATCCAACGGCGAGCCACGAAATCAGTTCGAGGACTCAAATTTAAACCTTACGAAGAACGCCTCCATTCACTTAGCCTTTACCCATTAGAGTATAGACGTCTTAGAGGTGACCTTTTGATGGATCATAGTATCCTTAACACTTCTGGATATCCTCTCAAACACGTACTTAAGCTTAGTTCCAACACTAACCTAAGGCGTAACACCCAAAAATTGGAGACACAACATAGCAGAACGGATTGTAGACACAATTTCTACTCCTTAAGAGTTGTCAAATGCTGGAATTCGCTGCTGGCCGAGCTCGTCCAAGCGACTTCCCAGGAGTCCTTTAAGAGGCAACTTGATCTATTCTTAAGGTCTAAGGATAGTATCGCACTATGATTTACTAATTTCTTTTCCTCTTTTAATGTTAACATACCTAGGTTCCTGCCTGGAGGATTTGGTGATCCCCTGCTACAAGATACGGAAGCCTGCTTAGCGAAAGCTTCTTCTGTTCTGTCCACAACCATTTGAACCATTTGATACGGCAGCGTGTTTAGCAAAGCTTCTTCTATTCCATTTTAAATCGTTTAAATATCTTGAGTTTTTCGATCACTGGCTCGTCAAACTAAGAATTAACTACTCTAATACAATCAGTTTTCTTCGGAACTGACTACAGTAAATCATATTTAACACGCCAAGACTCAACGGCTAAGATAGGCAGGAGACGGAATTGCAGGTAACTTGATGTTTGTTGTAGAACTAGCAACTCAAACGAAATTAGTAAAAAAGTTGTTACGACAGTTGCAGAATATGACCCGTGAGTATATTTCAATTTAGCGGACTAAAAAAGCATGAAAACTAATCAGAGGGCATAGATCATGCAGAAAATCGAATTGGTAGAAAGTGTGCGAGCGGTTATCGTTCCTGAGGAGATTATTTTTACGAATACATTAGCAACTCGTCCTTTTTGAAATTCTTTCACTGTTTCTGAATTTGACGGTCTTCGTTTGCCGTCGTTTACTTCTTCGTGGTAATAACGTTTATGCAGATTCATGTGATACTGCTTCTGTTCCGCTTTGTATCGTTTCAGGTATTTTCATTGGAATTATTGAAACGTCTAGAATGGTATCTAGGCTGTTCTGTTTTCTTATGATGGTCATCCTTGGGTCTTCTACGTTATTGTAGGGATGGTAAAACCAGATATTTTACGTAATTAGTTTTATTACTATTTCCATTTTTCATTATTCCCCACAATCTGCACAATTATCATTATTACTTGTAAAACTGTCGTTTAAAAAGCACAACCTTTGACTTTCCGTTTCGGTTTGTGAACACACATAACATGATCCATTGATTATCGCCCACAAATACACTGTTGCACATATAGGCTGTTCTAGTTTCTGGTCAGATCAATCTATTCATTATTCTCAAACCACATTTGCACCTTGTCACTTACTGAATTATAAACCCTTACTACTTCTACATGATTGTATCTGTGTTGATTGCTTATCTTATTCGTTACGTGTCTGTAATTTATTTTTGCACTGATTATAAATATTGACTAAGGCTTGAAAAGATCGGGTTTTCTCACATAACTTGTCCGATTCGTTTCATTTCGGTCTCTTTCCTTCACTTCCTTGGCTGCATTTCCGTAATTATCTGTTCCGATCAACGATTGTGTGAAATATACTTATTCAAACTCCATTCTCGTATTTGAATTATTTAATTTTGTTATTCACTAACGTGATTCGGGTCGATAAATTATGTAAGGATAACCGACATGTATATTTTGACAACAACCAGCATGCAAACCAAGTGGGTCTTCTATGTAACTGGTTCTTGTGGAGTATCAATCTCTCTCCTCCTAATGCCACTTCGGAAACGACATTTCCTCTCTGACCAAATATTTTACCCTTTGCCCAAGTTTCTTTCCTAGGTGTGTAGTCACGGACGTACACAAAATTTTCGGTCATATGTGAGAATTCTTGTTTTTGTCCTTTCGTCTTAATTGGCTTCAGTACATCAATTGTCGTCCGTAGCTTTCGTCTCGCTAGAGCTTCCACCGGGGAATTTTATTGTGGTGTTCTGTTGTAGGGTGTACTCTTGTGTGTGAGTAGGAATCGTTGAATGAATTCTTTTACAACCCTTTCTCCTTTAGCTTTGAAGACAGATCTTTTAAATGTGTACACAAAACGTTCAGCTTCTCCGTTAGATTGTAGATGGTATGGTGGAGAGCAGATGTAAACGATAGCAATTCGATTGCGAAAATCACTAAATGTGCTGGATGAAAATCGGGGCTTGTTATCGGTAACCACAGTCTTTGAAATCCGTAGCACGTAAATATGTTCATTAATACTTACAACATTTTCTGCGTCATTGAAGGCACTACTGGGTGGATTTCAGGTCAGTATGAATGCGTATATACTAGCAAAATGCTTGCGAAATCCAGATGTAATCTGGACTATAGATGACCTGGTTCTGGTCAATTTACTGGTTCAACCTTCTCTGGGTTTTTTATTACACTCTGACACTGTTCACACTTGTTTACGATGTCTTCTATTTGAGCGTCCATTTTTGGTTAGTACGCGTAACTATGTGTTTAATATGAAATCGTTTAAGTACTTTCTTCTGTAATTTTTGTGGTATCACCACACGTTCATCAGATATGAGGAATTCTCTGACCTACTTTTATCAAGAGAACGCGATTGGTGTAATGGAAACAATTATTATAATAACCAATTGTACCAGTGATTGTTTTGCCTTACTTGTTTGTTTAACTTTATTAAAGACATTCTTTCTTCCGCTGATTGTGACCTTTCATGAACTAACGTTTGCTCAGTAGTTTCGCTTGTATTCCTTTGGCACGATCTCGGTATTCTTACTATACCACGAGATCGCCAACAAATGTAACTCGCTACAACCCTCAATCGCCTTCTGATTTCTGGTTTACTCGGAAGTTTAGCCTGTTCTGGTACGCGATCTTCTTGTAGTGGTGATCATAGTCAAACATGACTCGATGCCACACCACAGAGATGTTTTAATTCTTCATCTAAAGACAATGGCCATTTATTCTGAAGGAAATGAATCGCCCGTTGAATCATCGAGTCTCATTTTGTGGCATATGCTACTTGGTAAGTAGTAGTTGATCAAATAATGCTCACTTTTCATTCAGGGATGGCAAAAATGCGTAGTAATAACTAATAAGTCTGATGAACAAACGTAGAGTCTGTAGGTCGTGTGATGTCCAGCAGATCGGCTAAGATAGCACCAATCAATTGTCAGTAATGTCGTTACACAGCAATGTACATGTAACTTTAAAATTTTTAGGCTTATAAAATCTCATGAGGATATTACCAAAGTACACTCACTATAAGTTTTACCAACTTCTGAAGCAATTAACCAAACTCTCACTTGAAATTGCCTTTATCCATTAACGAAAAATAATTCTCCAATCCTTTGTTCTATGTTCCATGCCACTGATAATTCCTACTCATGTGACGATCTTTTAGATGCAAATAAAAGCATCACGTTAATCATATAAACCACCAATCATATAAAGGTTAGAGTTAATAACACCATTGAGACACAGCACACCTGCCATCATACATCTAACTTATCAATCGACCAAACTGATAACTTCCTTCAGTTGATGTACACGTCACTAACTCGTGTACCAGGAAAACCGAAAATCATTCTGCAGGTCAGTCTAGTTGAGCAAATTACGAGAACCGGGAAGACTCGTAGCACCGATTACAAACGAAAGAACGCCGAACTGGTTACCTGAATTTCCTTGAGCAACAAACTTAGGCGGAAATTCGGCAATAAATGTCACACAGAACCAGGAAGTTAAGTATTGTGTTCAGCCATTAAAGATTAAAGTCTATGACCTAAATTCTTGGTGAATAATTCCCATAATTCTAGGTTCTATCAAACCAGTCCTTATTCGTGTGTAGTATTTCCTAGATACATTTATATTACGAAAGTTGAACGAGCGGACTTTGATACAGCCAAACACTTTCAGCAGCGTCAATAGATCAAATCCATTAACGAAAATGAACTAGTTAGTGAAGATCTAACTGTAAAGACTGAAATCCGGAGAAAACGTGTTTGTTCGCGGTCAATATGGAGTAATAATCTTAGACCTAAAAAAAGTTCATACACTTCCAGTATAGATAGTATCAGTGGTTATGCTAGCAAAACTTACGTACATCAGGAGATAGCACAACAATTGTGCACATTTGTGATAAAATTATGCTTTTATCATAAAAATCACAACCAGTACTATGTAAAACTTCAGATTCCATATTTATTTATGGTTTCAGAAATATCAAATCAAACTTTTTGTCTACATATTTATGAATTTGAATGGCTAATATTTATCTTAGAATTGCTGATAAAAAGAAAAAAACTCTCATGTGGGAAAACAATTTTATTGATTTCATTAGTTTAGTGCAGTGATTAGATAGGCTACTATATATAAACGCCTAAAATCGTATTGTTTAGATTGAAAGAGGGTGAGTGGGGGTGGGAAGATGACAGTAAAGAAATTGGTGCAGGTAATAACGAATAATAAAAGCATATTTTGCAGAAGTGAAGTATTGCAAATTGAATATAACATAATAGTACTCTCTAGAGCACAGATTTGAAGATATAGTTTTAATTTTTTTGAACAGGTTAATAATATCTTTACGACCAGTCTCGTTTTCTGAAAATGAAGATAATGGTAATGAATATCCTGACTGCATGTTATTAATAACCAGTGAGTTCTGCGAAAGTTTGATCCAGTTCACCGCTAAGAGCTTTGTATCGTTCTTTCTCAGCCAATAAGTCATCTAAATTGGGAAAAAATTTTAGTATAGAAAAGAATGATAGATTAATTTTTGTGCTGATATTCCTAAACTATTCATGGCTCAAAATCGTTTGCAATGGCACAGGTGCATCCACTCTTTGTGTTCTCCCAAAATCCTAATCTCCTGATTCCTCCTTGTCTCTTTTTTTTCTCTTTCCAAATTTGCTTCACTGTATTATACTCTTTAAATAACATCTCCAAACCCTGATCTTTCCGATTACTGCTTATACTCTTACTACCTCTACCACTACGGGATTTGAATCGACAACTACATCTCTGTGCTAATGTGGTATGGCAACTCGAACTGATGTACGTACGTACGAAGTTCTACGTTTTTACTGACTGACTGAAACTATTCATATGAAACCAGCTTAGACCTTATCGGATTGTCAAATATAAAGGGGAATCCTTATTCCATAAGAAATTCAAAAACAGAAGTATCCTCGACACCTAATCTGTAATGTATACAAGGGTACTCTTTCTTAACTGTACTGAAAGTATTTGCACGAAAGTAGAAAATACTCATTTCATCTGGTAATACACGGACAAACTTGATCAATGTTTCTATGTAACTCGCATACCAAGTTCAACACTATGTAATTGATTTTGAGTCATATTATTTATGGAAGCTGGTGATATTATTCGGTTATTGAAAGTGATATAGGTGGGACCAATTTCATGATCATATTCATATTTCAACAGAACACAAAAATTAAACACACTTAAATTTATTAAAGTAAACAAACAAATAAACAACACGATGCCTTAAAATTAAAACAATATAAATAAGCAAAATGCACACAAAAAACTAGAACAAATTGAGCATTCATATGAGTATATAAACTATGGAAGAAAGAAAAAAAGAAGCCCAAACCAAGAATTGAACAAAACAAAACAAAAAAGTAATAATGGACAAACTACATGCGTATTAATGATTCATATTTGATTTAATTCAATTATATTATTGATAACAAAAGAAGCTTGTTAAATAAAATGAATAAACAAGTTGAACAATAACAACCATGTATGTGCATACAATACATGCAATTTTGTATTCAGGTTATGAGATGTTAATGTTAACAGAAGGTAAGCTGAATAAATTAGATCGAATGAAATTCATTGATCATTGTATCCATTTCTTTGCGTAATGTTTCATACATAGTACGTTCTGTAATTATGCGTTCTAAACAAGAAGACAAATTTATTAAGATTAATTATTTGAAAATCTTATTAATGTAAGATATATATTTATATATACGAAAATACGATGTGTTTAACAGAAACTGTATAGGCATCTCAATTTGTAGTTAAATTGTACGGTATGGCGTTATCAGCTTAAACTGTAACTTCATCGTAAATGACATAGAATAATCTATCAAATGTAGGTGTAATCAGGTCAATCTAACACAATAATCAATGAGAAAGTGAATCTACATAAAGATAACATGATGGTAAATAATTGTTAGAATACATAATACACTCAAAGAATTCAACAACAATTAGTTTCAAAAGGAAATTTCTAAACCATTTAGGTACAGTAAGATTCAAACGTTTCAAAAACTTGCATCCACAACATCGGATTCTTCAAGACATCAAAATCTATCTAAACACGAATACATTATTATGAGTCGACTCTAACCTTATTAAGGAGTACAGTGTAATTTATTTTTGCGTTATGATTTTGAAATGCATAGAGCTTAAAACAGTCATAACCACTACTTTGACAGATAATCTTCGTCTTCTTATCACACTATTGCAATTTATCAAAGGGACTAATTGCTTTAGATATATATAACAGGCAACCTGGACCGATGCACATATGTGCCTGGCCCTACGTTGTAGATGACTGACTGAACAGTTATGAAAATTTTCTTAAATTAGGTTTGACACAATCGTTTAAATTTATCCATATGATTAAATTCAACTCATTCACAATAGAGGTGAATAAATTTCTTAGTTTAACTGAAGTGAATTCCAAAAATTTGATATAATATAAAAGCATTGAATAACATCAACTCCGCCTGGAGTCCCTCCGAGGGCTACTGCCGGCCCCAAGCCAGGATAAAGGAGGAGGGTTGGGTATGGGGTTAGCGACCCCATCCCGTAGAAAACTAACTCGCTAAAAAAACGCTAACCAGAAAAAATTATTCAAGTAATTGAATAACATCACAATGTAACTAATCTGTCAAGGACAAGTGACAAATTACAATGTATATGTGTATTAAACAGTTCGTTATATTTGTACCTTTTCAGTGTTTGTTCACTCACTATAATTAACCAGTGACAATGAGTGAATATTTCTACCAGGTGAAATATAATGAATAATGAAAATCGGTTTTTGAATATTGTGCTATCGGAATGTACGATTTTTCTAAAATTTTTACCTAATATTAGATATATGTTCTCTGAATTCCAGTTCTCCACTGCTTTTAGTATTTGTCATTGCATGTTATCAAATCTAGCTTATTGTGTTATTTGGATTAGTAGTAACTGGGATCAAGTGAATGCTGATCAAGGGTTAAATATTGTTACGTTCACCTAATTAGAGAAATTTTAATGGGATAGAATTTGATCGATAAAGTTACAATATGACCACTAGACTAGGTGACTCGACATTGCATAGACTATGTTGAAATGTAAGGTAGTGGTTGAAGGTATTCCATGTCAAGTCATCTAGGCTAGTGGCCACATTTAAACTTGGTCGATAGAATTTGATCTGCACTAGGAAGGACCTGACAAACGTGAAATTGGTTACTACCCAGTGATCAATCACTTGTAAATATATACCACTCTTACAGAAGGTCAATCGAGACCCGACTATCTCAGTGGTAACATCCCTGATTACGGAGCTGAGTGATGCAGGATCGAGTTTGTCAGGGAGTATCAGTTCCCTCAAGATTAAAGGTACACCTTGATGACATAACAGTGTCCTGACGACTAGTTTTAATCACCACTTTACACAAATGTTCGTTGTGTCGTGGAATTACTACTGTCAACTATGATGGCAAACACTGACAAATGAACTACATGACCAGTCAATGAGGAAGAAGCATACATCTGAAATAAAGTTTAGAGTATCCAGATAAAAACAGCTAACACCGTAATAAATCTATTTCAAAAAAGTCAATCCATATTATTTATTAAACCAAAATATCATATTATTCACCTTTTGCTTTCTTTATTTCCATAAGACGTCGATTAACTTCCGATTCAGCAGTATCAGCTCGAAATTCAGCCTGAATATTATTATTTCATGGTAATGAGAGAAACGAGTAATACGAAAAAGCATAGACAAATAGAATGATAAATGGAGGTCAAACAAAAAACAAAGGATAGGAGTTTTAAAAAAAACACATGCCAGAACATTCAAATAAATATCTATGATCAAGATACTTTTAACCAATGCTTCAATGCACAATCCTATAATCTATACATAAGTACAGGCATATTTTATTATCATAGTTAAGATGGAAATAGGAAAAAAATTCCCACCTTCCAAATGATCAACCTCATTTTGTAGTTTAGATACTTGACGTTCAGCTTCAGTTGCTCTTTGCTCAGCCTATTTATAATATATATAGATTAACAAAATTTAATTAATTCGATAGTTTATCTCATGATTATTTCTTTTCGTAAGAAATTGATGCAACACTGACATTCGATAGCTAAAGGGGAGCAAGTAACCATTGAATATAATTATTCTACTTCATGCAAATGCAGATACTTCAAAATAAGATATACATGCAAAATAGAAAACAAGTCTTCTTGTCAATAGAATTAATAATATCTGAATATTGATTGATCGTAAAAGAAGCCATTGCTGTCAACAGCTATCTAACGTTATAATACATGAAATCATGAGTTCAATTAACGTTGTAAACACAATAACATTATTGGAAAGTGATATATAAGTCAAATCACAGGCTTATGGATTCCTTGTAAGAAAATGAACTAATATCAATGTTTATGTTTTTCAGAAGGGGTTCTGTGGAGATTTTAGTAATTTCAATAGTTGAAATCTCCTTCCCTAAAATAACCGGATTAACTATTAAGTTATTATATGATATGTTTAACGAACAAGTCAGTCATAGCTATAGTTAACATACAGCTTGGGATATATGTATGAATAAAAGAATCAATCGTTTGAGTATATTAGTTTAATATCATACATATAGTTCCCTTAATTATGTTGAAGAGAACAAAAACAATGATTGATACAGAATAATATGAGTTTGTTTTAAGTTCTCATCAGTTGTTTACAACCTATAATATTTTGAAATCAAGATGAAATTTTTATTTAATAAATGAGTTCTACTTTACTTTCTTCAATCTACGCAGTTCACTTAGTAGCGATCAGTGTTTTTACACAATCCCAATCTTGGATAGGATTACATTTAGCTTCATCAGTCAGTCTGTCATTGAAAGGTGTGCCTCAGAAGTACATAAACCTTGTGAAGGCTCTTTATTCGAACACTACTAGTCGGGTCAGAGCTTATGGCAAAATCTCAGCACGGATTCGAAAAGCTCGTTTGGCTTTCGTCAACTTACGTCACCTATGGCGAGATATCCATCTGTCAATGAAGGGACGAGTATACTGCGCGGCAGTTCGTTCCGTTTTACTTTACGGCTGCGAAACATGACCATTAAGAGTTGAAGACACTCGCAAGCTACTAGTATTTGACCACAGATGCCATAGAAATATTGCTCGCATCTGTTGGGATCACCAGGTAAGTAATAGTGAGGTACTATATCCTTATATGCAATCTTTCTTTTATATATTACCACCATTGACTTAACTACTTCTATGAATCCTGTGTTCATCTTACTGTGCTAATGCGGTATGGCAACTTGGACCGATGCATATATGTGTGCCTGGTCCTACTTTGTAGCTAACTGATTGACTAAATAGTTATGTTGTAATGTTCCTCCAAATCTGCGATAATGACAGATAAAAAGAATCGAACCTCAAAAATGTAACATAAATTTTTTCGTGTTTCTAGGCTCATTTTGATCTTCATAATTAAAAAGATCATTAGAATAGAAAGATTTCTATTAGATTATAAAATAGACAACAGACTTCCTTCATTTGACTGACAGAATCCAATGATATTTATTTATTGCTGAAAATACATGATACACATATGTTTTTCCTATTATAAATAAGTCCACTTACCTCTTTAACATGATGAGTTAAAACACTTAAACGTTCCTCCAAATCTTTTTCAATTTCAGCAGACTAAAATACGCCATGCATAATCGATGAATATTTCAAGTGCATGCAATTTTAGACAAAATAGATGTATGTATCGACCGAAAGAGAAACAAAATGTAGATAAATGAGTTTGTCATGGCAAAATGAAGTTCTAAAAATAATTTATAATGATTTATAGTGTAATATCGAGGCATACGCACAGTATGCACATATGTCAATAACAAACTGATCAATTGCAGTCTTAAACCTCAATGGGAAGATACAAGCCAAACAATACCAAGTGAATTTATAGTGTACGTCTACATTTATAATAATTATTATTCGGACTAGAAATGTTACATTCTAAGGATGAACTAAGCCCAGTATGCAAAGTAGATCAAACTACTAATCCGGTAGAATGTAAAAAAAAACGAAACAGACTATGTCTATGCAAAGATGTGTGTTTGTAAGAAATGTTAAGTAAATAAACAGGAAGTGAATAAAGGTCAGTTAGTTAGTACTAAGGTCATTCTCTGTGAGAATAAGTGGAACAATCATTCAGTAGTAAAAATCGATGGCGAACAATGCAATATAGAAAAATATGAAAACACATGCAAAACCAATTTGCACACAAATATATTCCTACAAACAAACGATTAAATGCCAAATAATAAATTCATCACAAACAAACAGACAGACACACACACACAAACTAAACAAGGCTTACAGCCTTCAATCGTTCTGTTAAATCTCGGATTGTTTCTTCATAGCTTTCTTCACGTTGGGCTGACTAGATGACAGAAAACAGTAAGTCATTTTTCCGAATAGAAAACAAGACAACAGTAACAAATATAAACATTTGATCAGATAAAAACTGTCAACATTATATAAGAACAAGAACAGTAGTCAGTCAGTGTCATTTTATTTGTTTAGCAGTACTAATTGAGTTCTGTCAAATTTTAAAAAACGTCACCAAGCTAACTGATATGATATGAAATTACGATACTGGCTGGTTCGAGTTTGAATTTTTCAAAGTGGATCAATTTTCAAAAAGATGGGGATATATCTTGTAGATGAATGTCGAGTAGAACAAGTGAATATCGAAGACGATAAATAACCAACCTGATTTGTATGAACTAAATTAGCAGTTAAATGAAATGTTTTGTCAAGATTTATCCAATTTGAAGATAACTATGTTTACAAATTAGGAGAGCAAGGCCAGTATTCCGTTGATTGAAGAACATCTGGAACACTAAACAACTGTCAGGCAACATTAGTCAGAATTTCCAATACAAATGTTAAGACAATCCTACTGAATGGAGTTAGGACTTGAAGAACTACTACAACCATTGTCCAGGAGTTTATAAACAGTTGTCTACGCAAGATACTCTAAATCAGTTGACTAAACACCATCAGCGACAACCAAATGTAGAAGAAGACAAACCAACTTCCAGCCGAAGAGAAAATTAAGAAAAGTTGCTGAACGCATTACGGAAACCATCAAATTGCACAACGAGGCAAGCCCTAACTTAAAATCCTGAAGGCGATAGCAAAAAAGACAGACCAAAGAACACATTACGCCTGGAACTGGAGGCGGATATAAAAATGGATTGCAATTGGTAATAATTGGAAAAGCGATCCCAGGTCAGAGTAGGTTGGAGAATCCTGACTGGCGTTCTATGCTCCACAAGAGGTAATAGGTGTACATAAGTAATGGTTACGAAGAGAGGCCAGCAGAGGAATTCTTATAAATTAATTGAATATCGAACAACCCACTCCCCTCCTTGACACTACACGACAGGATTTTATGATAGGCACAGTATCATTTGAAACACAGGACAACTATATTGAAATTTTACTAGTCAGCCACTTCCTTGTGACTGGTTTCATTCCACAGGTCACATACTTCCTACTTAAAAACTTTACTGAACCCATCTAAAACGAAATCACTGATGAAGGCGAAATTAATATTCAATAGAGTGGTTTGCTGAATTTTAAAAGGGTAGCCACCACTTTCGTTTTCTACTTAATTTTGACAGCATACGCTATACCGTCATTTTGCTGATTCTACTAGAAATATAATTTTCAAGCAAATAAAAAACAAACTAACAAATAGATTTACTGACGCAAGGAAAATACTAGGCTATTATCCATAACTCTCCCAGAAGCACCACTAAAACCCATCTAATCATTGAGGAGTAGGGACTTATTGGTTAAAAAAGCCTAACTTCCAATCAGTAGGTCAGTAGTTTAAACATTGGTTAACCTACATAGATTAGAGCATCCAGGTAGAAGCTGTGTACAAAAGTATGTACTTGGTGAGTGAGCCGCATTACGATTATGATAGAGATTTATAAACAAAGACTACCCATTTTAAACTATTACATGTTTATACCATTAAGAACATTAAGAAATGTATTTTATATATGTTGTTGAATAACTTATCGATCAATGTGAACTATAGACTCCATTTAAAGCCTAATTTTAGTCACATGGTAACAAATTATCAGTTCACATTAATAAAGATTATAATACAAGTAGCACACCTCAAATTACCCACTAGATTTCAGTCGCCAGCAGTAATGCCTTTAAAGTATAGAGCTAAGACATCAAGAACAACTCAAAGGAAGTCCGTGTGTGACTGGCCTTAAGCGATTGTCTCTTCCCTGCTTCGGTCTGGGAACCTAGGCGGTGTCATAGCACAGACACAAATCAAGTGACTTGTGTGACTAATGCGTATTCGGTTCCCCTTTGTACCAATATTTACGTGTTCAAATAAATAATAGAATAATAATTGTCTCTTGAGCCCTGGGGTGACGCTTCAAAGTGGCTAAGACCGCCACTAGTTCAATTCTTTTTTAGGTACCTCAAGAGAAAGTATCCTCAGATGGTGTTGGCAATAGAAAAGTTATGACTGCTTGCATACTTCAAATGGCACCTGAGACCATGTTTAATGATAGTGAAAATACATCAAGAATGAAATTAATATATGGAGGTGTATAACTTAATGATTATAGCACTCGACTTCCACGATCAGTAGGTAGGATTCGAAAACGTCTTCTTCGTGAGTGACTGTCTGGCCAGAAGAATGGCAGTGGAATTGAGTTTGAACTTGTGACTTGCTGGTCAAAATCTGAGTGCTTTAACCAGTTAGCTAACCATCCCGATTGAGTGTTAAAACGAAAATCAACAAACGTTATCACAGTGGGGTGGCAATTATAATTATTTTACTTAGCAACAAGCAGTTTTTATATATAAAATTCCAAGAAGAATGTTAAATACTAGAGCAGTGTTAGTGACTACTACGTAGCTTAGTAATTATATAGAAGCTTACTTTATGAATTTACGAACCATATCTACACACAGATCAGGTGAAATGAAACGACCTGGATGGCTGTGATAGATAATTCAACAAAAGTCGAACTCGGAGTAATTTATGGACCATATCAACTCCCAGCATAAGACAAAGGTTAGACAATATTTATCAGTCAGTTGTCCAGGTTAATATATATGAGTGTTTAAACTAAAATAAACATATTACACACTTTAGTTCTCTAAACTGTCAAATTTTCTTTAAAGAACGAATGAGCAAAGAAAGATTCTCATTCCTACATAGTCGGACTATCAATACAGATAAATATATACGTACTGTGAAATTACCTCTTGTTCGGAAATTTCAAGAGCTTTCATGTTATTACCAACAACTCGTAGTTCCTCTTCCAATTCTACTATTTTGCTTAAATTTGAGAGGGAAAAATTTATGATGGTTAATTATATAGCATTTCTATATTTGTTTGAAAGAGGTGTAGGATGCAGAAGCATATAGTTGTCTATGTATATGTGATAAACAATCAGGCAAACTAATCATGCAATACTACATATCATACAAACTTTCATACAAGTCAAAAACGAACAGCAGTCAAAAAAAGGTTGCAAGAAAGTATTAACAGACAAGTTTAGTTAAATAAAATGGTAAAAGAAAAGCTAACTGAAAAGAAGTCTGGCAAAGTAAGTTATATTCACATGAATATGATGTACTATCTAAATAAATGGTAAAAGAAAAGTGGAGAAAAAAACTAATGATGTAAAAAGGATCGGATAATGTTATTTAAAGCTATATATATAGTGACAGACGGTATTTGAACCGTTAGATCTTGTTAGTTAGATTGTTTTAAATATTTTTAGTGTCATGTTTCACTCATTGTGATTGTTAAACTAAACCTTGTCACATGTAAATCTAAGTGTTAGTCAGTAACAACGTAGAACTTCTTACGTACATGAATCAGTTCGAGTTGCCATACCACATTAGCACAAAGGTGTAGTTGTCGATTCATATCCCGTAGTCGTAGAGGTAGTAAAATTATAAGAAGTAATCAGAAAGATTAGGGTTTGAAGATGTTATTCAAGGAGTATAATCCAGTGAAATAAATTTGGAAAGAGGAAAAAAGGGACATGAAGAATTCAGAAGATTAGAATTTAAGAGAACACAAAGAGTGGATGCACCTGTGCCATTGCAAACGAATTTGAGCCATGTCATTCAAGGTATCTAACCATCGGTTGCTATCGTCTCGCGGATCCCAACCAGGTAGTCTACACCTACCAATATGACTCAGTCCACTTGTCAGTGACTTCATGAATTTATACCATGTTTTGGTCTGGCTGCCCCTAGCTTTCTTCCAACCTACTACTACACTGTAAAACATCGTAAGACAACACTGGGGTAGTCGTTCGTTGGGCATATGTAACACGTGTCCCAGCTATCTCAACTGATGAAGTTTCACTACTTCATCAATGGATTTGCCATCCTTACGTAGTACCCGTTTCCTAACAACTACATTACTTACTCGGTGGTCCCAGGATATACGAGTAATAAAAATCTAAGTGTATTTAATCTGAACAAATAAATTACTAAAACCAGTTTTCAATAATTCGCACTTACAATACAGATGAGTATTTGTAAATTTTAAGAACTATTTGTCAGTAGTATCTATTCATATGGATATTTTTTCTATCTGGATGATTTCAATTGAAATAGTGAATATTATAAGTTGAAGTGTATTTTCCACAATTAGAGATGCAAGTATGCTACATCAATGATCTTTATTTCAAAATACTTCAATGTAACTCATTGAAAAAATATCAGATTAATGATCTGAGATTTAGATTACAACATATTTTGTACGAGAATGCTAGTAACATGAGTTGGCTACTTTAAACGAAGTAGGTTGAGCAAGGTCTGAAATTAGAACTCAAAGATTGAAAATTGGTTACTATAGTTATTATTCCATCTTACAAAGACGGTATAAAATTACTATTTGTTCAAGTAAATTGTTGGTATCGATTTAGACATTTTGAATACTGGCTTAAAAATTTAAGACATGTTTAATTGCATAACTAATATTGCCAATAGGAGTTGTAATTTCCATAAGATTTATGCATGTAAATTTACTAGGAAAACTTTCTATTAGATTAAAAATGAGGATACATTTCAACTGAGTTAGTAAACAAAATATCGCCTTTGATACGAGTTGACAAAATAAAATAAAGCTGACGTTGACTGTCATCATGGATAGCTACCAGTTGAAGAACGGCCGGAGATGCATTGTACGGTCTTTTTCTTTCCAAATGGAAGCTCTTAAGAATTGCAAACTTACACAAAACCAACATTAGACCTTTACATAAGCACAACACAGTTCAATCAAGAAATAGCTATCTAACACTCCACAGTTCTCAATTCTTGTATATAATGTCCCAACACAGTGGTAAGCCATCTTTAAAAAACTACTGTACACTAAATTAAAACTTGACATGAAAAGAATCAGCTGGAAGAATTAATGTATATACCTGTTCTTTTTTAATCTCCATAGATTTCCATTTACCTGCCAAACCCTTTAGAGTATTTTCCAGTTCAGTGACAATTCTACAGAGGAAAAACACGAGGTTGGTAGAATGAAAATTTCGAATGAGTCAAATCAATTTTGTGAAGATAACACTGAGGGGAAATTAATTTCCACTAGAAATCATGGTGTTTTTAAACAATATTATTAACATTGATGGGACTAGAATCTGGCTTTTCGTATGTCAAGAAAGTTATATGCCAGGGAAGTCCTACTCACTGCCTTCTCGTGGCGGGGGTGTTGTTTACGAAAATGAGAGGACGAAAAGCGAATGTCCGGCGCTTTAACCGGATTCCAAACCAATGGTGCACATGGGCTCCAGTATCCTGCGGGAACAAATGGCGTATGAACCAATTGTTGGTCACCGGCTTCCATGGGACTGCATCTCCTCACGATGCTCCACTGCCTTGTGGGTCAGACCTTCAGGTCGAAGGCTCGGGGTGTGGCCCCCTAAGAAAACCACCTGCTTCGGTCTGGGAACCCGGGCAGTATCACAGCCCTCACACATATCGAATGAGATTTGTGTGGCGCATATGTATTTGGTGCCTCTTTGTACGATTATCTATGTGTTGAAATAAAATAACAATTAATATTATTCTTTTTTCTTCCCTCTTATTATTTAAATCGTCACAGATTTAAGATTGGTTTCTTATTTCCAAAAAGAGACTTGTGTACAGAGACGAAAACAAAAGGAAGATGATTACATTTGAAAGTAAAATCATCAAAATTATGACCATCTAACGACTTCTAAATACAGAATAAGAAAATCAATCATCGGATATATATGGCCGAAATTTGAACAGGATCGTATTTTTAGATAGAGTATAGTGACCAAAGTTATTATGCCACGTATATTTGTAATAACTTCACATTATAGATGATAAGATATTGAATAGATGGGAAGCAGCTAAAATAAACAGTTATGGGATCTTTGAGTTGTAGTTCGACTGACTATGAAATAACCATTTCATCACAGGTCTAGGAATCAGAGATATTTGTCTTGTATTGTTTACCTTGATCACATCGTTAAAATCAGATAGAAAGATATACCTTACAATCTACTGATGTATTGGTGATTGACACTTCTAGCTATTAACTTTCTAAGGTCATTCAATCAAAGATAACTTACGAATAGAAAAGTAAAACTAAGCAATGTAACCTCGCAGTCTAAGACAGAAATGGTGATATTATGTATGGACGTTTTAAGAATTTACCGCTACGTCGAGTTCATACTTTGAAATTTTCACTTCAATAACGATAAATCCATCAAGCAACATTTTTTAGCGCGCCGACGTTGCACCAACAAACAGTTAACGGCATTTGTAATATCCCAATGAGTAGAAAAATTAGATTTTCTGACGTCTCGTGACTCAGTGTAATCCAAGTTTAAACTTGGATTATTTATTCTCTGAAGAGGTCGCTTAAACTGAGTCAAGAAACGTTAGAAAACCTAATTTTACTACTCATTGAGATATTACAAATATATTATTATATTTATAACAATCTACCCAATTCTCAATTTATTCGAAATTTCCAAATCGAACCTTGGTAATGATACCTACTTAACAGCATTACTTTCCTTTTAGACGTGACGTTTGCTGCTATAATACTTTCTTGGTGTGGATAAGACCTTACGAAACAAGAATCTCAAGTAACTTAGAAGTAACAAAATAAACAATTTACAACGGATTGAAAAACAACTGAACACAAACTTACTCTTCGGATTTAGCCATGCGTGTTTCAGCTTCAGCTAAATTCTTCTCAGTTAAGGCCAGTGTACAAGAGATCTTCAGGTGATTTGAACAAATTCATAGGCAGTTATTATAAAGTGCAAGGTATGGTAACGGAGTGGAAGACATTTTTAATACGAAACAAAGAGAAAGACATGCGGTTAATAAATGCACAAAAACTACAAATACTTAACACAAATAGTAATAATAATTTCAAGACAGTTGTTGAGGTTTATTTAAACACAATAAAACCATGCAGCATAATGGACGATGCATGAAATACGTTGTTTGCTTGTGATGCATATATATGTTTCTGGCTACCTTTCTGCAGCTTCGAGACGAGCTTCCGCACGCTCAAAATCAACTTCTGCAATAGCTAATTTACGTGCAGCCTAAAAAGGGAGAGAAAATAGCATCAAATAGGGCTTGCAATCGTGATAAACAAATATCAAAACACAAATGTAACTGCATGATTTTAATAATACCAATGAATATTAATTCACCTATTAATGTGATTACGGCATATGGTCAGGGCTCAACGCATGGTCCATAAAACTTATTTATACCCTTGGTGGCCTGGGCGCTACAACATGGCGATTAATCCATCAGTAAATAGAAAAATGGCATCTTTGAGGACTAGATAGGTATGTTTTTCTGATCAACGGCAGGAAAAAAATAAGGATGCGGAAATAACTTACAAGTGTTTACATACTAAGCTTTTAAATAATGACTGGTTAAGGTCCTGCTCTATCCACGACGATTTAGGTAGTCAGGTAATATTATTGGGGTCTACGGGAGCGGTTAGGTTTAGAAACAAATCTAGGAACTAATACATCGTTGCTTTAATTCGTGATATTAACGCTAATTAATAAAGATTTAATGGATCCCGAATACGATCAAGGAAAATCACAGTTGGGAAAAAAAGTTTAGTCTTACAAGCTAGTGGCTAGAAGTTATTATAGATTGAGTTGTACATTGTCCGTCGTACGAAATCACAAAATATGTTTAAGTTGTGGTAAAAAAAGGCTAGGTAATGATGTCAGTCACTTAAATGTTTGTAGAAAAAGTAAGTAACATTGCTAAATACCAAACAGATGACCAGCTTTCATTATATAAGCCCAATAAAAATGATGGTTTTTGTCAATGTTTGATTTGTGAGAAAACGGTTTTTGTAGGCCTCGTTGTAACATTGCTCCACAACGACTGAAGAGTTTTTTTCCGTACATATTTGAGCCAGAACTAAAGTGCGCATGATCTACCGGGTACAGATTAGTGTAGTTGACCTTGGGCAGAGCATAACAGTTGTTTTGACGTATGGAGCCGAATACTTTGGACAACATACAAATGTGGCTTTCAGACTAATGTAATTACATGTGTAGTCGATCAATGGTGGCTTGAAGTACAGTTTACTTATTTCATTTTGAATAACATTAATGGATCAGAAAGTCTAAAAGATACAGGTACCTCTACTGATTAACTAAGTAATCTTACGTACTACAGTGGTGAAACATCCATTTAACTACTAACTTTCAGTTTTATAGTTCATTTAGTAACTTCAACCAAACAAAAAAGTTTAGAGATAGGATACATTGTGTATGCTCAATTTACTACACTTTATGACGAAACGGAAGTCGGATATTAACACGAACGGAAAGATAATAGAATCAGTAAGAAGAGATGAAAAACGGATAATGAAATATTTTGGATTCACAGGAAAGAGAAATTCATCTACACCACTGCGGTCGATTTGAAATCGTGATGCCTGTCATATTTAATAGCTGATATCTATCACTTTGAAGGTCTTAATTAGGATGTATATACTTGTCTACACGACAGTTACTTCACGAACAGACAGGATGCTTTTATCTGAACTATGACTAATTCAGATGGGATTCCAGGTCGTAGCAGATGATCGGTTGGGATGTGTAGCAATAATAAGTCGTAGTAAGTGCAGAATTACAGCTAGTCGACTAACATTCCTTGCATTTAGAATTTCACCTGAAACTAATATTATTTGGTGACATATTTCACTAAATTTCAGGCACTATTGAAAAGATACCTGTGACTGGATATCAATGATATATATATACATTTTTTTAATGCCTCTAATAACTTCCCATATGTTTTACCGACGCTACGGATGGTGTTGGCTGACAAATAAATCTATTATACAGTGAGGCTTTATGAGCAATCACCCCATCAAGGTTGATATAACACTACGATTTTTCCTGCTCTTATACTATTAAACCAGATATCATTAAAAACCATGCTTATAATACCCATTTCGCCATCTCTACAACACAAAGAATATATGCCTCATAAAGTGTCCAGGACTCACCTCGTCATATTTCCGGTCTGCATCCTCGGCAATATACTTGGCTTCTTTTTGTTGATCCTCCAATTGGTTAAGCCGCTCATCATCAGCAATCGAACGAATCTCAAGGTCTTTTCGTCCACTATGTGCAGGTTATTAAATTAAAGAAAGTGTGGGATTAATATATAGACATTTAAAAACCTAAAAAATCTTCTAAAATCTCTACCTCTTTATACTTCTTATCAGTTTCCTTAGCAGCTTCTGTTGCGTCCTCGACAGCTTTCTGTAGCTGCTCTACTTTCTTGTCGTACGTGTCCATTTTATTTTGAACTTGACGCCACGCACTGCATGCATACATGCAAAAAATTACGTTAAAATTATGCGTGCGAAAAAGGTGAACAAGTGAGAATACTTGCCACGAACGCTTACCGTTCACTTTCCTCTGCAGTTTTACTTGCTTCCTCTAACTTGGTCAATGTTTCAGTTAGACGGCTTGAAGAAACTTCAAGATCTTCCTCTAACAAACGAATTCTACGAGTCATTGCTGCCACTTCAGCTTCAGCCTGAAAAAGCGACAAAGAGCAAACTATAAAATGTGCCAAATAACAAAGTGCACACGGGGTACACAAGCTAAAAAATAATTAAAAAATTGACTTGAAAGTCCCACATCAAACTTTGATTAGAAATTAACAAGTACGTACCAAGAATGGTACTCTCATATACCCATGTTGTAGAAACAACTAATTTATAGTATTCCCCATTGAAAATAGAGGGTTGTACATTTGCGTTAGTTCTTTTATGAGTAGATTTAATTAGTGTACCCTACATTTTCTTGGACAATCTACCAAAAATACTAATAACGTTTGATATGTTACATGCTCAGAAACGTTTTTAGATCGGAATAACAGTTCCGTTGAAGAGATTGATCAGATATTAAGGTTGGACTATATGTTTAAGATATTATGAATTGTTATACATAAATAATTTCGAGAACCTATGAAGATGTCATGACTTTTCAGCATTCTAATTGCAGTGGCTAACGTTAGCAAAGACCAGAGATTAAAAACAGAAGCTCATTAGATTTATTTTAATTGAGAATCATAGTAATAATATATTACATTTCTCAATATATAACTGTCTTTAGTTATCATTCATACCTTTTCACGCAAGGCTGTTTCTTGTCTCAGTATTTCATCTTCTGTGATAACATCAAACTGTAATTTTTCCAACTCGGTCTGCATCTCCTTGATTTTTTTCTTAACGACATTCGCAACATTTGATTCACCCATCATTGCTAAAGATGTAGCGCGACAAACAAGTGTACCTCTTTACGCAACCTTGAGATGTCTGAATGTTTTTAATGTTAAATAAATTTTCGAGACACTAAAAATTTATTTCAACACTTTTTAAGGCATGTTTGAGCAACTGACTTAATCAGAGATTAGCTTTAGTATGATGTAGATAGTGCTTGACTTTCTCAGGGATAGTAGACAGAGTATACCGGTAAACATGTATCCAACGACGTAAGAATCTGCAGACAGTAGAGTTCTCTAATGTAAAATCCTTGTTGGTGTCTTCTTTTGCTTTATTTAAATATATTCTCAAAGGTAGCAAAGTCGTTTGTCTTACTCCCTGCTAATGACAAAGATTTTGAGACCCATGCACTATAGATAAAAAATGATACTTTTACAAAGAATCCAACATTTGGTAGTGGAATTAATGTACCGGTTGTCAAAAAAATGATTTTATGGAGAAAGTTACGACGCAATTGAATGACACAACAAGTGAGGTGCTGCAACCTAAAGTAATGAATTATAAAGATCTAGGGGTCATAATAAGCAGCAACCTTTAAGTGAAGGGTAATTGAAATACTGCTGCTGCTGAAGGCTTCAAGAACTTGTAGGCAACTTATAAGTCATTTCATTACTTTGACGAAGAAATGTTTAGGGTATTGTGCTCAAATTCCATCTGTCTGCATCTCGAATATGGGATACAAGCAGCGAGTCCTTGTTATAAGTATGAGATTACTATGATAGAATAAGTTCGACAGCGAGGAACCACAAAATCGAAAGGCCTCTCTGACCCATTTTAAGAGGACAAAACTAGGATAGCTCAACCTACTTCTTTTATATTACCACGGGTTATGGGATGATCTAATATGATGATTTTGGTATCACTATATCATTTCTTTTTCTTTTACTTAGAATTGATCCTCTGAGAGAATGTTTTTCATTACAGTACTACAAATTGCAGTGATTAACATAAGTTGATTGACTTCCTTTCCTTACTGCTGAAGACTAATATCAACCAGATGATTATTTCCACGGAATATTTTTCAGAACCATATGTAACATGTAAGGAATATGGATGCCTGATCATTTATATGATATTATTTTATTTTAAACCTTGAGCAAAATAGTTGTAAATGACAGTGAGTCTATAAAAACTTAGGTTGATTGATTAAGGTTTGACTGAAAACATCTAAGCAAATATCAAGACAGTAACGCTTAAGTGTTCACTCACTTCCTTATTTTGTGTGATTGTATATCCTATTACTTTATGTTTAACGTTGAAAGCTTTTTGTGTTTGAAGAGCTAATATTGCACTCCACTGTGTTCTGTCACATGAACTAAATAAAGAACTATTCGTTGCTGGTCTGGTTCCTATCAATAGAACGAGGTGTAACCACCGGAGCAAAAAGTATGTCATACAACAGAACACAACTTATGAATTTAATTGTTGATCACCCAGAAATATAAGCAGTTGTTCAGTGTATTTTCAGAAGCACGAATTGTCGAAAATGTACTCAAACGATTGACGAGCATCACAACTAAACCACACAGTTCAGAAAATGCAGCACCTCTATAATACCAAAGCGATCATTAAGGTTGGAATTTTGATGCGGTACCATTATTAGTAATGACAACAAAAGAAATAAATACTAAAGAAATGACCATGACTAAGTGACTGAATGAGTTTCGTTAACGGCAATTTTATTTCGGCTTAAGCGGCTAAATTTTTAACTGAAAGTTGAAAGGATTGCCGAATTACTTATTTAAATATTTGGTATACATTGGATGACTGTACTACTATGTTAGTAAATTTCAATCAATGGTTATTACTTGATGACCAGCAACTATAAACATCACAACTATATGGGAGGTCAATCGCAGACAGATTAGCTCAGTGGTAACGTCTGGAAACGATAGTGCAGCTTGATGGGGAGTATCCGAATCCCACAGGTAACACCAGTTCCCTTATGATTATAGGTAAGCCTTACTGAGGAGTGCCAACTAGCAAGATACATAAGTTCAGGGTTTCCTACTGATTATCTGGAATCAGTTAAAACATAGTGTGTTGTTCTAGTGATTTCTGTAAATTATTGCACACTAAAAATTTTTGGAGGAAGCATGGAGTTATGCATAGTATAAATGGAAAAGAAATCATTCTGCTTACTTGTCGCAGGTTTATAATCTCATTTACTCACGTAGCCGAACCTCCCAGTTTTTGTAAACTGCTTAAGCTCAATGGTTTCACTTTAAAGTCTGTAGCTATAACCAGTTACGGTGGTAGATTATTCTCACTGTAATTAAATTCTATATGAATTTATGTAAATTTTTTGTCGAACTATTTGTTCCATGAAGACACATAAACAAGGAATAAGCATGGTGTTGTAATAAAAAATCATAATACTAGATTTTAAAAAAAGGTTTTCAAATGTATATACGATCGTACAGCTTGATGATAAATTCGTTGCATAGAGATCCTTCTGCCGAGTGTGGTTTAATATATCATTTAGTAAGTGACATTTAATGACCTATTGAAAGCTCATTATTGTCAAGAGAGTGAATATAATTAATATTGTCAAAGTGTTAGTTTATTTTTTTAATGATGAAACATATTATTCCTAAATCTTGACATCATTCTTGGCATTTTTTTCGGATGCTTAAACTTGAATTTAATGAAATCTTAATTGAAAGTTGCTTTCTCACCCCTTTTAGTCACGGTGAAGTAATAATATTTTACAAACTCTGTCATACCCTATTTGCTAAGTAACAATTTGTATACTTAATCTTGAATTGCACTTCAGCTATAAAAGTTGTTTGCACTACCGAAATGCTTAACGATGATTGAATCAAGTTGAACTCAAACTTGTAACCTAAAAGTTGGTACCACTAATTCAATTGCAATCATAATAACCAGTCACCGAAACATCTTCATAATTATTCAAATAACAATAACTTATATATATTATATAGTTAAAAGTTGTTATCAACTTACATTAGTAGCACGTTTGTCAGTTTCCTCTAATTTATTCATTTGTTCTTGTAATGTTTCTTGTACTTCATCACAATCAATTTGTGCTTGTTTCATTTTAGTATTTAATTCAGCAATTTCACTTTCACGTTTTTCACGTTCTTCTTCTTTCTTTTTAAGTAATTCTTCATATTGTACTGCTCTAAATAATAAATAACATGAAGAAAATAATTTAACAAAATGAATAAATCAATATAAAAAAGATTATATCTTTAAAAAAATTTTTAATTGTTGCTATGTCCAGGTGATTACTTAATCAAAATCATTCAATAAATAGGAAAAAAATGTTTGTTTTTCATAATAAAATGAATGAAAATATAACATTTCATAATGTAGAAAGATGAATTTTCTATTCATTTAAAATTATCAGAAGGGGTTTTGTGGAGATTTTAGAAATTTCACTGATTAAAATCATGAGTCGATTGAAGCTGGACCACCATGGAGAACCTGGAAGCACTGGACGGCCGTTTCGTCCTAGTATGGGCCTCCTCAATGGTGCGTATACACGATCCCACCCCCTTCTAGATTCGAACCCAGGGCCTATCAGTCTCGCACCAGGAGCTTAACAAACTAGACCACTGAACCGGCCGGCATCCAACGGTGTTAATGTCTAACTTCACCCAATCCACGAAGTTGCGCCACCGTACACCATTGTCTTCAATGAGTTGATATCTGACAACAGATCTGGTTGAACTCCACTGGTAACGGCTTCTCACTAGAACTCCAGGAGTATCTCCTGAAGTCAGTCACTAGTGAGCAGATGATTATTATCAAAAGGGGCCGTTCAGTGCTTCCAGGCTTTCCATGGTGGTCTAGCTTCAACTGGCTCATTTAGAATTGTCAACTTATCTCCTAGTTAGCGATACTTGTAAACTTGCAATTAAATTTAGTCATTTATTTAAGTCTATAGATGATATAAATCAACGTGAAAAGCACTGTTTCAATCAATTTAGGTATCATTTTTTTGTTTGGTAAAATTGAACATCAAAGGAATTTTTTCTTAGAAAGAAAAGTTTTAAATAATGTTTACTATCACTTTTATTGAATCCAATTGATATATGAACTTATTCTTTCTTCTGATATGCAACCTTTCATTTATATATTACCACCATTGAATTAACTAGATCTATGAATCCAGTGTTTATCTTGTTGTGCTAATGAGTTGTGGCGACTTGGTCTGATGCATATATGTGCCTGATCCTATGTTGTAGCTGACTGACTGACTGATGATTATGATATGAAAACATTATATATCTTTGCATATATATCAGTATGTGGGAAGATTTTAATAATAATCAGAATAATGATATCGTTATCAAATGTTACCACTGATCTAATCTAACTGGAACTGATCTCTCATATAGTTAGAACATCTACAATTGCTGGTCATTAAGTTATAACTATTAATTGAAGTTGACTAACATAGTAGTAGAGTTATTAAACACATATGAATTATTTTCAATAACAAGTATATTACACTTTATAATCATGTTATTTATAATGATAACAATAACATCGACGTGCGATGTTCAGTGGTATAGGAGTAGGTTGGAAGAAAGCTAGGAGCGGCTAGACCAAAACATGGCACAAGTCCATGAAGTCACTGACAAGTGTACAGAGTGAGTCATGTTGGTAGATGTAGACTACCTGATTGGGGACTGCGAGATGATAGCAACCAGTGGTTAGAGACCCTGAATGACATGGCTTAAAATGGTCTGCAGTGGCTCAGATGTATCCACTCTTTGTATTCTTCCAAGTTCTACTCTTCTGAATTCTCCATGTCCATTTTCTTTTTCTCTATGCAAATTAATTCTACTGGATTATACTCCTTGAATAACATCTTCAAACCCTAATCTTTCTGATTACTGTTTATAATTCTACTACCTCTACGACTACGGGATATGAATGGACAACTACACCTTTGTGCTAATGCTGTATGGCAACTCGAACTGATGTACGTGCGTGAGAAGTTCTACGCTGTTACTGACTGACTGATAACAATAACATATTATTATTATTATTATTATTATTATTATTATTATTATTATTATTATTATTACACAACTAACCTTTCCATTGCATTCTCCTTTTCTAATTTCATTGCAATCATTTTCTTTTTAATTCCATCCATTTTTTTAATTTTATTATAAGAACTTTTTCTTTTATATAATGAAAACTAAAGTTACTTCTTATGATTAATTCAGAATAGATCCTGTTATGAAAATTGAATTGAATTGAACTGAAGTGAACTTATCACTACAATGAATAATAAATACTGTAAATGATTTCAATAATGAAAATAAATAGGATCAAATGGAATTTATAATAATAAGAAGAAAAGAAATATAATAATCAATTGTGCAACACATATACCCTAATGACATGTTATATCAATTGGATACACAATGATTTTATAACCAATCAGGATAGGATTTTAAAAAAAATTCTGTTTCTGTATAAAGGGGGAGGGAAGGAAAACACATAAAAAAAGGGGGAATACAATCACCTATTCAAGTTAAACAGAAATGATGATACCAGTGATCTATGAAGATTCTTTTCTTTTAAGAAAAAAATAAATTTACAAATTACCTATTTTTCTTTATCATCATAATCAATTGTTGATTGTATTTGCACTTCGATTGTGATGACCTTGGGATTTAAATAATGTGTAGGGTAGAATGTATGATCCACCCACTCAAATATCGATTTGTTTAAATATGTATCAATATATATATATAGAGATGTGAACGCACATACGTGTGTGTGTGTGGATGGACACATATAAACAATTAGGAGAATGTTTTATTACTTCTGATAAGATAATCAATTTTTTGTAATTTTAATATAACCTAAATTGATAGAAAATTAGGTAATAGGAAATGGGAATAAAATGAAACTATTAGCCATTATCTATCTTTTGATTGAACAATGTCTAACTTAAGGTAGATTAAGGCAATCCCCGTACAAGATGTATCTATGCCAATAAGAGACTTATCAGTTGGAGTCGTTAAACAATAACAGGAAGATACAAGTAAAACAACACCAAGTAAATTTAAAATTCACACTATTGCAAAAGTAGGTGGCTATCAGGACTTAGTAGCTAAGTGGATAACGCGATGGCATTTGAAGTGAACGGTGCTGGGTTTGAGATGTAGGTACATCCAGTTGATAAGTCCCAAATAGGAGGAAGCGCGCAACAAACTGGATTCCACTACTAATCTTTGCTTAAACAGCTTGTGTCAGTCAGTCATTCAGCTACAGCGTAGGACCAGGCACATATGTGCATCGGTCCAGGTTGCCATACCTCATTAACACAAAAAGATGAACACCGGATTCATAAAAGTAGTTAATTCAGAGGTGGTAATATATATATAAGAAAGATTGCAATAAAGATATAATACAGGAAGAAAGAATTCGTTCGTAGAAAGAAAGATATGGAGAGATTTTAATCTCACAGTTTAAGGGAAGACAGAGAGTGTATACACCAACGCCATTGTGATCGATTCTGAGCCATGTCACCAAGAGTCTCCAACCATTAGTTACGATAGTCACGCGGACCCTAACCGAGTAGTCTGCATCTACCAATATGGCTCAGACTAGAAGTTAGTGACTTCAAGCACTGATGCCACGTTTTGGTTTGACCACCCCTAAATTTCTTCCAATCATCCCCTACACCGGTTAGCATTGCACGTCGCGGTAATCGGTGTTCAGGCATACGTAACACGTGGCCCAACCATCTCAGTCGATGAAGATTAACAACCTCATCAACTGATTTACCATCATTCCTTAATACCCTGCGTCGGACCTCACTATTACTTACTCGGTGATCCCAGAAGACGCCAGCTTGTGACTTAAGAATATATTGAGGCAATCCCCGCACAGGATGCACATATAACAATAGGGTGATACAAGTAAAACAACACATAAGTGAATGTAATTGGAATGTTTTTGATTATATAATCTAAATGATAGATTTAATAGATCAAGAATATTTTAGATGTATTTTCCACTATAGTCATCTTTTTCAGAGTCAAAATATGATTATTTAAGGTAAAAGAATTCATATAAATTCAAATTGATGAAGTAACCATTTACTTTATTAAATCATTCTTCTAATGTTCTTATAACTAATAAGAATCCACCATGAATCTATGCATTAACATAACATAATATACTGAATATGTCTATGTATCTTTATGATTATTAAAACAATAGTTCGTACTTAAGTTGAAACAATTTTAATAAATAGTAAATTAGTGAACATATTACCCTTGTGGATAATTCAAAGCAGATACTCATACTGTTTTTCCTTTATAACCATCTGCTTCCCCTTCCATTTTCTCCTTAAACCTTCTACCCTCACCTGTTCTATTTCTCTTTTTATGATCCTACTGATTACATTTAATCCCAATTTCAACATTTTAACTTATCAAACTGAGTCATCCTTTACTTACTTACTTACGCTTGTTACCCCTCATGGGGGGGCATAGGCCGCCAACCAGCATTCTCCATCGAACTATGTTCCCAGCTATCCTTTCCAAATGTTTCCGGTTGCTACTCATCCTTTCCATGTCTACTTCCGATTACCGACGCATTGTATTCATTGGCCTTCCTCTTTTCTGTTCCCCTTCATGATTCCAAGTTAGCTCTTGCTTCGTGATACAGTTTGATGATTTCCTTAATATATGTTCTATCCACTTCCAACGTCTTTTCCTGATTTCCTAATCAGCTCGAAGCTAGTTTGTTCTCTCCCACAGTAAACTGTTGTTGATTGTATTCGACCAACGGATATTGAGTATTTTGCGTAGAAAATTGTTTAGAAATACTTGTAATATTTTGATGGTGGTTGTAGTAGTTCTCCAAGTTTTAGCTAGCTATAGTAGAACTGTCTCGATGGTCATGTTGAAGATTGTGACTTTGATGTTGGTTGACAGTTGTTTTGAGTTCCATATGTTCTTCGATTGTAGGAATGCTCTCCTTACTTTGCTAATCTTTACCTTTTCGTCTGCATCAAATCCTCCATGTTCATCGATGATACTCTCTAGGTACGTGAAAGTATCCACCTCTTCTCCATCAAGCGTGATTGGGTTGGTGTTTTCCGTGTTTCATTTGAGGATCTTTGTTTTTCTCTTGGGAATGTTGAGGCCTATAGATGAAGAGGCTGCTTCTGCTACCCTTTTCTATCTATCTTTTGATGAATATTTGAACTATTAACAATCAAATGATTATTAGTTTCCCTGTTTAAAAATGTTTTCAGTAACTTTGTTTATTCTACCTCACTTTCACTATGTCTAACAAAAGTTTATTATCATTATTATTGTAATTATTATCATCCTGAAAAAAATAAGTATATATATATATGCGACTGTACAGCTTTGAAAATGAATTCGCCGAACCAATTTTTTTTATTTACTGTCCTGATAGGTGTAATCCGTTTAACTAATATTCTAATTGGTATCTAATCTTTAGCTACATATATCACTTTGTCTGGTTCGTGTTGGTACAACATAGCATGCACCGATCGAATTACACTTGATGGAGGATGTGAACACATTTACATATCTGCGCAGCATCGTTGATGAACATGGTGGATCTGATGCAGATGTGAAGGTGTGGATCGGCAAAGTAAGAGCAGCATATCCACAATTGAAGAACGCCTGGAAATCAATACAACTGTTTGTAAGTCAACATCAAAGTCAGAATTTTCAATACAAATGTCAAGACAGTTCTGCTGTATGGGCGGAAATCTGGAGAACTACGAAAACCATCATCCAGAAGACACAAGTGTTTATTAACAATTGTCTACACAAAATACTTCGGCTTCGTTGGCCAGATACTACCAGCAACAACCTGCTGTAGGGGCACTCAAATGCGTCACAAGCCAAGCCCTCACTTGGAACCTCAAGTCCAAAGGAGAAGAGGAAGAAGAAAGAGCACATTACGTCGAGAAATGGATATAGATATGCAAACAATGAACAAAAATTGGATAGAAGTAGAAAGGAATGCCCGGGATGGAGAATCCTGGTCGGCGACCTATGCTCCATTGGAAGTAACAGGTGTGAGTAAGTAATGCTGGCTAAATGATATTCAAGTGTACAGTTTAATTTCTAAACAACAACAATTTCGTTCTCTTTATTCGTTTTTCGAATGTGTTATGTTCGTTTATTAAATAATACACGTAACGATTTTATTTTATCGTAATTCATTGTTCAACGGTAACATAATAATGTCTTATTTAATTGCTTTTCTTTATGATCAATCAGAGTTATCATGTTCAATCCGATTAACTTTTGCTGATTCTATCATGTAATCACAAAGAAAATTGATAGCTTATAAAGTGATTTTATTGATCAGTGATTATTATCAAAAGAAATTTTGTGGAGATTTCAGAAATTTCACTGATTGAAATCACGAGTCAATTGAAGCTAGACCACCATGGGAAACCTGGACGGCCGTTTTGTCCTAGTATGGGACTCCTCAGCGGTGCGCACCCACGATCTCGCCCCCCGTGGGATCCGAACGCAGGACCCATCAGTCTTCTTAACCAACTAGACCACTGAGCCGGCCGGCATCCAACGGTGTTAATGTCCCATACTAGGACGAAACGGGTGTCCAGTGCTTCCAAGTTTTCCATGGTGGTCTAGCTTCATCTGACTCATGATTCCAATCAGTGATTAGTTTATGAAATCAATTATGTGATTAGAATTTGTTTTATTCTGAAACTTGTTAATTCGAATGAAACTATCCTTTCCGTTTTAAAAGGATTCTATTAAAATGATACGAATTCAACTAGAATTAGATTTTTAAAAATGGTTACTAAGATGTAAGTAGGTAGTTAGAATTTTTTTTAGAAATCATGTGAAAACAGTCGGTTGGAATAAAGATAGGAGCAACTAAACTATCAAGTCATTTAGTATTGAAATGAAGCATTCTGGTACCTGCCGACTACTTGATTGAAGTTTAACACTTAGTGATAAAGAATATTGATTTCAATAATGCAAATAAATCCACATTTTGCATTTCCTTTAGATCCTGAATTTCAAAATTATCTTTATTTTGTTCGGGAAATTCTTTCTTTTCTCATTTATATTGTTTATGTATAATAGTTTCTAATATCAATGGTACTATTTGAATTTTACTACTCCAACATATATGCGGATAATTTTATGTAGTTGTGCCGATATGGTGTGGCGACATGAACCGACACATTTATGTTCCACGTCCTAGGTTATTTATGACTGATTGATGTAAGAACGTTATAGTAAGCGAGTATTACTAGATATTTTAACATAATAAGCTTCATGATACAATATTCATATCAAATTATAAAACGAATTTTTCATGTATATAAATTCTTTTTATCTCTTTGAATTGGATTAGATAACTGACTTAAAAACTGATACGGTAATGTCATATCTATCCAAAGAAATACGTCGGACTACTATTTAAACCTTCGGAATACTGAAAGCTGCTTTGAAATATTTATTGATCGAATTTAGCTAAGGATAATATATCCCTGATCGTGGCCAGCGTTACGAACTTTTCAGAACACATCAAACTTCAAAGTCAAGACTTAATGGGTCGTATCGACTTGCGTCTAACAACATCTTTCAAATTTAATAAGTAGTTCTATGAATATGATGAAGAAATTAGACAAATGTTCTCAAAATATATTCGAAACAAAAGAACTCGAGCAATGTACGATTTTATGCCTACCACGAATTAATTGATCTCAGAATATATATGAAATGTCAAATATGAATACAAAGACTGGATGATGTATAACTGACATAATAAACTTTCTAATGCAGAGATTTCTATTGGGAAATAAATCGAATGTACCCCAGAAATCCAGGAGAATCAACAAGGCATCATACATACAACCAGTACTTGAAATAAATCAACACGTCGAGTAGCCTTTACAATCAGCATTCATCATTAGCCAACAATTTTCGAAGATATCAGTATATAAATTTGTTAGGACAACAGAAATTAATGTGAAGAATGCTTTGCTTGGGTGACAACTTTCAACATATTCCAACATACATTAGTATTTCTTTGCTAACTAGATTTACAATTTTGAGATTTGTATCAACCTCTTGGCTACGACAGTTCAGTACAGAGCACAATTCAAAGTTATTAAATTTAATAGGATTGGTATAACTGGTTCTACTAATCGAAACAACTAATGTAAATATTGGGTCCCCAAATGTAAACTTTTTTGGTTACTTAAAAATTGTTGTAATATAGGGATCGGTGGAAACGAACTAACTTAAGTGAAACAATCGCTAAAAACTAGAAAGTGTGAAATAGCTCTCTTGTCTTAGTACAGGACTCATTCGTAGTACACACCCACGAACCTACTAGCGACCGAACCCAGGACCTTCACATTTGAGAGAGCTGTCAACTATCAGAACGTCTTGAGCCTAATCCCCGATGGCCAAAAAAATCCAAATTTGTTTGGGGAATATAAAATATACTAAACAGACTACAAACAATATAAATGAAGAATGTTGGTTAACAGTCATAATCAGTCAATGAGTTTTAAAATTACTATTGCGCTGTTAATAAAATAGTGTATAGATTGGTTAACTTTCAACTAGTAATCTTTATTTCTGTAAAGCTATAGCTTTCACTTCTTATCACTCACCCTCGATTGTGAAAAAAGTGACTCGGCATCAATTGTGTGCTTGATTAGTGAATAATATCAGCAGTGTAAACTTTGTGTAGTGAGATTTAATGAATGAAACAGAATCGTGGAATTTGTCGTGTACGGGCATACGCATAAAATGGCATTTTAGATTAGCTTTCCCGATAACAAAATGGTAATTTATTTTGTGAACGAATATTTTGAATACATAATTTCTTATTATGATCTTGTCAACCATCATCTGGAAAAAATTTCATGCTAATAAGTGTAGTTGTGGTGGTTACAATCTTAATAATTTCATCTCATTATGTTGATGCCCATGCGGAAACTTGAACCGATAACAATAAATCAAAGTTTATGTTGTTCATGTCTGACTGACATTTTGAGAATGATTTTACATTAACAATTAACCCTAAATAAGCTATAAAAAGTCACAGTAAATCGAATAGCAACTTCGCCTGGAGCCCCTCTGGGGCTACTATCGGTCCTAAAGCCCGGCTACATATCAACTACGTTATATGTGAAGGCATTCACTGCTCACTTTCCACTCTATAACTTTGATTCCTTTAGCATTTCACCTTCCTGTGCTGATTTGTAATGTGACAAGTTGGGTCACTTGTAATAATGATTGACTCTAGATGGAATAGTTGATTTTATCAAGTTCCAAACTCGTTAGAAAAATGTAAATCAACTCTAATAAGTAATTTATTATAAGAATACAGAGAATGTAGAAATGGGATAGAATTGAATTGAGAACAATCTACAAATGAGAAAAATTGTGATCACTGGTATATACATATAAATTCTACGAAATATAAGTCAAAGACATCTACGTGTAAAACAAATTAAATGTAATTAACTATATATAATTGAAAGCTAATTATTGTCATTTGATCCAATCAAATAAGATTAAACTATATTCATATACAAGAAATGTAATTCCACAAGCAGGAGTACATCGGAGTATATATGGAACAAGTCCTTTATAAAATCCATGAACACCTTCACCTCTATATTATAAAAAACAAAAAGATGAATATATATATATATATATATATATATATATATATATGCAGAACAACGATGACAATTACATATATAAAGTGTGGTATCTAATTTGACATCAATACGTAATCTTCCGATACACGAGTAGAACCGGCTACTAGAGTGAGAAGGAAGTTTATAGACTATGCAGAATGGAGGATGTATGTACTATTCCGAATATATATATATATATATATATATATATATATATATATATATATATATATATATATATATATATATATATATATATATATATATATATATATATATATACAAACTGGCGTTTTCGATTTCATTTCCAAGGTTGAACATATGAACTTGAATGGGGAACAGATGTTATCTCTAGATGTTGCTTCTTTGTTCACCAATGTACCGTTAACCGAGAATACTGAGTTGGTGTGCCAACAACTACTTGAAAAACAGATGACTATTAGAATTCCCGAGGTTAGTCTCAAAGAATTACTCCTGAAATGTACAGTGAATGTCCATTTTGTCTTTAATAATAATACATATTATAGACAAATTGATGAAATAGAGATGGGTTCACCCCTAGGTTCTACCCTCGCTGACTTTTTTCTTGTGAAACCAGAAAACGGACCTGTCAAAAAGGTCATTGACCTATTTCCCATTATGAAAGATTGATCCAAGCCTTTATTACTGTTATCACAACTAACACACTATCAATTTGTACTTTTCACTTATTATTTATATTTATGTAATCTATTTCCACTGTTATCATTGACTCATAAACTGCCCTGATTCGCTTAATGATTTAGAATTCGTAGATGACCTGATCTGATGCAGAGACGAAGGTAAGGTTTAGCAAAGTAATGACACTACTCATGCAATTGAACAACATATGGAACTCAAAACAACTGTCAACCAACATCAAAGTCACAATCTTCAACATGACCATCGAGACAGTTCTACTATAGCTAGATGAAACTTGGAGAACTACTACAACCATCATCAAAATATTACAAGTATTTCTGAACAATTGTCTCCCGACCGTTGTTGCTACCTTGACGTGGTGGTCGGGCTTGCCTAACGTGATGAAGCAACCGAGCTAAATTGGCTGAAACATATGTTCCTGTAGGTTCTACCATGCCAGGAAGGTCGATTGGAGAACGGTAAGACTAAAAGCAGCAAATCAAGGTCTTAGGGCGAAGTCGTACTGCTGACTGTAGAGAGGTGTGACAGCAGTAAGGTGTTTCCTTCAGACAACCAGCATCTGCAGCGATGCTTCCTTCCCACAAGGAGGGGTCGGGTTAGAAAAGGTCGACCCTAAAAATGCACACATCGCCTTATCCCACGGATATCCGTCTCCGGCGGTAAGGTCTCAACAAGTACGGAGCTAACACAAAAATTGCCCATTAAAAGGTCGTGTGTGACCGACCTCAAGCACTTGTCCCTTGGGCACTGCGGTCACGCTCCTAGGTCACTGAGACCACTTCTAATCCGATTTCCTTTTCAGGTACCTCCAGAACAACCCTTCCACGGTGTGGGCAACCGAGAATTGATAACCGCCCTCATACTTCTAACGGCACTCAAAACCACTGGATTCATAATCAACCTCCCTCTTCAATTCCTATTATTCCTCCTACATCGACTTTCAACTCTAAATTTCCTCTCTCGGCTTCCACCTCAAGTGTCACCATAGCCAACGATTCTAGTGCTCAAAACTCTGTCCCAAGTTTACTGAAACCTCGCTCCAAACTACACATTGGAGCCTTCAACGTACGAACTCTATGTCAAATCGGTCAATAGGCTTACTTGGCTTGAACCCTAGAATCTCGTACCATTGATGTGTGCTGTGTCTCCGAAACACGCATAGAGGATCCCAGTGTGGTCATTCACTTGACCTCACCTCGGCAAAACGGAGAGCCAACGAGATACACCCTTCGTGTATCTGGTGATCCGATGGCCAGTTCTTGTGGACTGGCAGGTGTAGGCATAGCACTAAGCATGAGGGCGGAACAAGCACTGCTAGAGTGGATCCCCGTCAACAGTCGTCTATGTGCTGTTTGGCTAAATGGCTACGTAAGAACTCGGAAGGACAGGGACACACGTCGTTGCCTTTTCGTCGTTTCTGCCTACGCTCCCACTGACTGCAGCTCAGATGAAGTGAAAGATGAATTTTACAGAAAGCTTTCTGAACTTCTTCAGAAAGCTAAACGTTCAGACATAGTACTCGTAGCAGGTGACTTTAATGCTCAGATAGGCAGTTTAAACAAAACAGAAAGGCATTTAGATGGACATTTTATTATTCCGACACAGCGAACAGATAATGTTGATCGTCTGCTGCAACTATGCTCAGACAATCGTTTATTTTTAGCAAACACAAATTTTAAACAAAAGGAGAGACATCGTCTAACATGGCGACCCCCTACATCAAACCAACGATGGACTCAAATAGACCATATTGCCGTCAGTCATCGTTGGAGAGGGTCGGTACAAGATTGTCGCTCATTCTGGAGTACCTTCTTGGACTCCGACCATGCCCTAATACGGGCACGCATCTGCTTGCGCCTCACTGAACCCAAAAAAGCCACATTAAAAAGACCCATTAGAACTGAGTTGAGTAACGAGAAAACCAAAAGTAAGTTCCAGGAACAACTGAGGTCACACTTAGGTAGTTCTGAAAACGAGGCTGACCCAGATGTTGCTTGGAAAGATATACAAACAGCTGTGGAAACAGCAATGAAATCTATTAGTGACTTAAACCACAGAGTTACAAAGAACCAGTGGATTTCTTCAAGGTCTATCACACTGATGGTTTCTCGCAAACTCGTCCCATCAGGTTCTGAACATGATGAAGAGCGTAAATAAATCAGATCTAGGTTAAGAAAAAGTCTAATGAACGACCGTGAGCAGTGGTGGGTAACAAAAGCAAGAGATGGAAAAGGAGGCGACTATAGGGAACACAAGACAGGTTTACGGACTAATAAAAGAAACTGGAATTAATAAGTCAAGTGTGGGATTATTTCGGAAAAAGACGATACTCTCATCTATTCCCAGTCCAGACGTTTAGAACGATGGGCGGAACATTTTAGAGAACAGTTCAACTGGCCTTCAGCTACTCTACAACTACCGTCCATTCCCAGACAATGTGAATGGAACATTAAAGTAGGTCCCTCAACTCTTTTTGAAGTTGAGAAGGCTATAGTTAATCTGAAACGAGGAAGAGCAGCTGGTCCAGATGGATTGGCTCCAGAGGTCTTTAAGGGTGGTGGTCCAATTTTAGCGGTTAGGTTGACTGATATTTTAGCTAAGATCTGGGAATTAGACGTTATCCCATCTGACTGGTCGCAATCACTTATCGTCCCAATATATAAGAAAGGGTCAAAATCATCCTGTGACAACCACAGAGGGATTAGTTTAACAAATATAGTATCTAAAACATTAGTCTCGATAATTATCAAACGCCTAACTAAGACTCGTGAACTGCAAACCTGGTCGTGGCTGCATCGACCACATATTCACCATTCGTCAGGTTCTAGAACCCAGACATACCTATCGGCGTCCGACGATGGTGGCCTTTCTTGACTTAAAAGCAACATTTGACTCTGTAGACCGCGAGACTCTGTGGCAGTGTCTGTCATTGAAAGGCGTACCCCAGAAGTACATAAACCTTGTAAAGGCTCTTTACTCGAACACTACTAGTCGAGTCAGGGCTTGTGGCGAACTGTCATCTAGTTTTGCAACCTCAAGTAGTGTCCGTCAAGGCTGTCCACTTTCTCCACTTTTGTTTAACTTCATCATAGACCTGTTGATGGAAATAACACTCTCATCGACTGAATCTTCGGGTATTGATCTCCTACTAGGAGGTCCACTTATCGACTTAGAATACGCAGATGGTATAGTCCTGTTTGGTGAAGACGCTGACAAAATGCAGAGTCTTCTGGTAGCACTAAGCAACAATGCCAGAATGTTTGGAATGCGCTTCTCTCCCTCTAAATGCAAGATATTGCTTCAAGAATGGTCTGCATCAACACCTGAACTAAAGATAGGGAGTGAAGTAGTCGAACGCGTTGACAACTTCACTTACCTTGGAAGTCTGATCAGCCCTAATGGGTTATTTATTTATTTATTTATTTGAGCACATAAATATTGGTACAAGAGAGCGCCAATATATATGCGCCACACTCATAGAGTTCATTGTTTGTGTGTGGGCTGTGATACTGCCCGGGTGCCCAAACCGAAGCAGGTGGTTATCTTAGGGGGCCACACCCCGAGCCTTTGACCTAATGGTCTAACCCACAAGGCAGTGGAACATCGTGAGGAGATGCAATCCCATGGTAGCCGGTGACCAACGATTGGTTCATACGCCATTTGTTCCCGCAGGATACTGGAGCCCATGTGCACCATTGGTTTGTGATCCGGTTAAAGCGCCGGACGTTCGCTTTTCGTCCTCTCATTTTCGTAAACAACACCCCCGCCACGAGAAGGCAATGAGTAGGACTTCCCTGGCAGAGGCTGTATACGCGCGGCCGTGTGAGAGTATTTCGAGAGGGAGAGCGGACTCTCCCCACTCTCGGCCGTACCAGGGCGTTCGGGGGCGCCCTAATGGGTTGGTATCGGACGAAATCTCAGCACGGATTCGAAAAGCTCGTATGGCTTTTGCCAACTTACGTCACCTTTGGCGAAGGCGAGATATCTGTTTATCAATAAAAGGACGAGTTCTGTTTTACTTTACGGCAGCGAAACATGGCCCTTAAGAGTAGAAGACACTTGTAAGCTACTAGTATTTGACCACAGATGCCTTAGAAATATTGCTGGCGTCTGTTGGGATCACCGGGTAAGTAATAGTGAGGTCCGACGCAGGGTATTAAGGAATGATGGTAAGTCAGGTAATCGGAAGTAGACATGAAAAGGATGAGTAGCAACTGGAAACAGCTGGAACGGATAGCTAAGGAGATAGTTGAATGGCGGCCTATGCCCCTTCATGAGGGGCCAACAGGCTTAAAGGAGTAATATGTCTATGAACAGAGCTAGGAACGATTTAATATCCTAGATTTTAAAAAGTAAATGATATTAATCAATGATACCTTCCAAAACACTGATCATGTATGGTAGAATTATTGAATAGCCAATACCGAAATAAGACCTAAGTTATTAGACAGCAGTGATAGTTTGATTGGTAAAGTTTTGAATGTTAATCAATTAAGATTATTAGAACATGTGCTACACTAACGAACCAAAACTTGTAATTAATATACGTCAAGTCAATCACTATTAATCTGAACTGTGTAGGAAGTAGATGATTCGTAAAATCCCAAGCTGTAGTCTTCGAGATAATCATACATATACAAAACTGTGAATTTCGAGTGATATGGTACAAAATTGACTGCAATAGTCAAATATGTTTGTTATTTATCTCCCAAGAGATTTTAAGTCTCACTTTTTTCCTAGTATACAAGATTTTGGATTTACCAACAGCTGAAATTATTATTGTTATTACTATTATGAAATGATTCTTTGTTTTTCTTCACTCTTGCTTTCCTGATGTAAGATGTTATCAGTTAAATTGATACACATTTATTCTAAATCGTACATTCACTATGCCTTTGTAACATGTGCTACTTATATTGACATAAGTAGTATGTAAAACGACTCAAGAATATAATGTCTAGCAGCAGAAGATTGAGAAGATCAAGAAAGGAACAACGGGAATAGAAAGTAATTAGTATGGAAATGCGAGAACAATGAAGTCCGAGACAATTATTAAACATTTTGCAAATCAAGTATTAGAGTATGGTTTTTTTCTATTTTACAAAGTAACTCGGTAATTTTGCGCTAAATATAATTCGGTTGTCCTCACCTATGTTCACCTTCACTACACCTTTACCTAGTAGATGTCCGCAATTGTATTCAAATGTAAAGGGTTCCGGGATCTAAGTTATCTATGATTGACTAACTATTGCAGTACACAGAAAAATTTAAAGCAGACAATAGAACTCAAATAAACATCATGAAATCTTTTATTCTATTTTCGAAGGATTTTAATGATCATGGAATGTTACTTATATCAGAGTCTAATATTAAAGGGTATATGGAAACTTTATTTTTTTACTTTATATTTAACTAGTAAATTTAATAAAAGTAAAACTCGAATTTTCATTTATGAATAAAAAATTTCAATGAAATAATAGTATTTCCTTACGAATAAAAAAGAGTAATTCAATTGAACATGAAATAGAAACTAACTAACTTCCACAATTGTCGAATAACATCAGTTACACCATCGTATTTCCTATGCTGGTCTTGCATTCTTGAACGAATAACTTGATACGGATAAGTTATTACAGCTGCGATCAGTTTAGAAGCAGATGAAAATGTTAGGTACTCGACAGCGGACTGAAATTAAAGTGAAGAGAGTCAGAAAGAAAGCATTGAAAAGGGATAACATGTTTTGATTTAAAAAGTTTAACAATTTTTATAGCCCATAAACGACAAGTTACATCTATTATATGAGAACTAATAACGCTATCTAACTAATGTAAAATATATTCTGAACACTACTTCTCTCTTGCTCGTTCGCTGTATATCACACTAAACTACTTATTAATATTCAGTAGTTTTTGCCCTTAAATGGCATGATGCGGCGCGGGAGAGTCTATTCTCCCTATCGAAATGCTCTCATACGACCAAGTGTATATAGCCACTGCCATCAAAGTCCTACTCACGGCGAGGATGTTGTCCGTGAAATTAAAAGGACGAAGAGCAAATGTCCGACAATGAGGCAGGGTTGGTGGGTATGGAAGATCTATTTAGGAGAATTGGAAAACACTAATACGAAACCAATGGTGCACATGGGCTCCAGGATCTTGAGAGAATAAATGGGGTACGGACAGGTATTGTAGTACTAACCGGAGACTTGAATGCACAAGTCGGGCGTCTAGGCTTAGAGGAGAGTCGTTTGGTTGCCAATAGGGGCTTGTTGGCCTCAAGTCTGATAACGGTAACCGTCTACTACAACTTTATACAGACTACAACCTGCTTCTGGCTCTCACTAACTACTGATAAAGTCATTGCTGATGTGCTACCTGTCGTCCTGCCTATGCATCCCAAACCTAGACTCAGATTGATCACATCGTGATCAGCTACCGCTGGCGTGTTCGTGTACAAGACTGCCGCTCCTTTTGGAGTACCTAACTGGTTTCTGATCATGCCCTTGTTTGCACTAATCTTACCTTACGTTTCAGTGACCAACAACTTTATCGTCCTAAATGGATCGATGTCAGCAAACTGGTTGCAACCAAATATCGAACCGAGTTAGGTTCAAAGCTAGTTATCAGTCCACCGAAAAGGGATGATGAGCATTGGTTGTGATTACATGATGCCATAAGATGGAGAGTAAAGTCTCTTGCGGCTTTGTGAAATATTCCGCTTATAAGCACTAGATTTTTATAGGCTTCTTACAACTCGTTGGAGCACATCGGTTTGGTTCAGCTAACCAAGAGCTTGACCATGAATGAAGATTGCTACGTAACGAAACTGTACAAACTTTGTTTAAGGACTGTGAAGCCTAGTGGTTGGAGTATGCTAATGAGTTTGGAACGGCAGCTGTATCTGGTAACTACAGGAAACTCTTTTAATTCATCCGACACACTAGCAACAAGAAGTCTTATGTGAGCGAAAGTCTCTGAGGCCGACGTAATGCCAATCAATAACATCTGCCAACGTTTCGGACGATGAACAGAGTTTTTCGTGGAACAATTCAGCTGGTTTGTTGCCCCAGTGACATCGATCAGATCGTCCTATCCATGATGGTCGGTGACGACTGACCCTCTAACAAGGCGGAAGTCTGCAGGAAACTTCAACTTCAGAAGCGCCACAAATCACCAGACCCAAATGACTTTAAAAGATGGTGGCGACCTTCAGGTTAAAAAATTAGCTGAGTTTTTACAAGTGTCTAGGAGTTGAAGAGTGTTCCAACATCGTGGAGTGAGTCGATAGTTGTCTCTATCTTTAGAAAGGGTCCACGTCATCTATGCAACAACTACTGGAGAATAAATCTACTTCTGATTGCGTCCAAACTATTGGCTTTCGCCATACTTCGTAGATTGTTCAAAGCCTGGGAAACATTGACTCGCGGAGAGCAGGCTGGTCTTCGTTCTGGTCGAGGATGCATTGATCATATCTTCACCTTACGCCGAATATTGGAACACCGTCATACATATCACGAGCCAACAATTGTAGTGTTTCTTGACATTACGGCTGCCTTCGATTAGTTGAACAGGGGTGTTCTGTGGAATTGTCTGTTGAAGGCACTTCACTGAAATCGACTACAGCCTCTCATAGAACTGATTTTTATCGTCGTCATTGATATAATTGATGGGTTACTAATTGTTACTATGGTTGTTAGAAGGGGCATCGGCCTCGAGACTTTCGAAGAATCACGGCTTTCATTATGAGGCGTCATAACTGTCCCGAAAGATCTTTCAACTCGGATGGCAGATTTTAAATGGTTTGATTTGTTTAATCTGGTTAGCGTTTTTTTAGCAAGGTTGTTTTCCACGAGATAGGGTTTACTAACCCCATGCTCAACCCCCTCATTTACCCAGGCTAAGGAGCTGCAGTAGTCCTGAAAGAGCTACAGGCGGAGTTACTATTAATGAGTAGTTATTATTTTATTTGAAGACATTGATAATAGAATATTTGAGAAAAATGGAAGATAACCTACCAGTTTCTCACTAACTGACTTTCCTCGATACCGTGTATTATAAGAATTTTTAAAATGTTCATAAAACATAAACTGGATAGCACCATGACTAACGCCGAATAAACCGGGTACATAACCACGATACAACCCAGCAAAACCTTCATGAATCCATAGATTATGCAAGGCATGCCGTGTAGATTGAGAATGTATTACTAATGATGGATTTGTAATTTGAGATTTCGGAAAAGATTTCGTTACCTTTTCATATTGTAAACATAATCTAGTTTTAATCACCCAAATTGGATTTACAATTGAAAGTGTAATCACACCTAAAAATGTAATTAATATGAAATATATGAGTAATTATAGTTATTTTTATGGTTTTAGAAATCGCCTAATAAAAATTTGATTTTAAGGGTCTGGATTTGAGTTACTATGAGGTTTTGGTGATTTAACAAATTTTATCAAGGAGATTATGATGTTTAAAACTAAGGTACATTTTAACAACTTGCAATTTGAAAAGTATTTTGTCTTCTGGTATTCAAATCTATGTAATTCGACACGTCAACATTAAGCTATCTGTGCCATGACAACTCATCTGTTGTGATATATATTACAGAAGTGAGGATTCAAGATGCTCTAATTCATACACTATTCTAATTTGTCCAATCACTAGTCAATACTGCTGATACTTGATGATGCGCAAAAGACATTTTGATCGATGAATATGATTTTTCAAAGGTATAATGTTTACTTGGTTTACGACTAAATAATGCAACTGCATAATCACAGACCGAAACATACACATCACTTTTGGACCTGATACTAAGTAGTTAGTCGAAAGTAGAGGGGTATAAACACTAGGGCATTGATCAGATAGTTTACCAACGTGCGTTAGCAATCAGCGTTCTCAACAGCTAACTCGAACTTTTTTAAAACTGGTTTCCGGTGATTTTAATACTTAGTTATTTAAAATTACACATCATTAAACGGGATAAGAAAATGAAGTTATTATTTTAGAAATTACCTGAAAAAGCAGCAAATGTGAGATATTGATTGGTAGTGAGAGATTTGGTTTTATCGCCGCGCTGAGCAAATCTTTTCAAGCTTTCATAGCTGTTAAGTGAAAGATAGATGTTTCAACGTGAATTAGTGAGGACTTATTTAGTTAAAATGTGATAAGGATGGAGTTGATGTAATAATATGATCACGGTAAAACTTGAAAAAGACAGTAGATAAACTGTTTAAAAAAACGAAACTGTTGGATTTTGACGCAAATTGTACTGAAATATAACTGTTCGTAACTGGTACTTGGGTGTTTAGTTTTTTATCTCGACATTTCAAAGATTTAGTCGCCTAGTTTAGTTTGAACGACTGGTTTTATTACCTCTACTACGAAAAGTTTGATCAATGGCCTGAAAGCATAAACCTGCATTTGGTTAGAGATGTGTATAAGTAATAACGATTGGTAAAAGTTATCCGAATAATTGTCAAAACTCATTTTACTTACATTATAGACGTACGTGTTTTATAATTACCTGGTAGCTTTTCATATATTCCTTACCTACTCAAGATGATGATAATAACTCATTTTACCAAGCATATTTACTTGTGATATAGAAATTAACTGCTGAAATTCAACCGGATTTGATGACTCAAGCAGTAATCACGTTAGTGAAAAATAGGAACAATCAAAGTTTATCTTACACTTCTGTTGATGTTAGCCCAGTTTGTGAATATATATCCAATTTTCAACCGAAATAACCTTTGGGCATATAGACAGTTAAAACCTTGCAAATGCATTTGTCTAGTTATTCACTAAGTTATCATGTGTGGCGCATATATAGTTGATGCCCTCTTGTACCAATATTTATGTGTTCAAATAAAAGTCATCCTGTGGATAAACCAACTCTGGTAAATATATAATTATACCACAGAAAAAATTACTTACAAGAAAAAATACAAACCCCATGAACTACCCGCTCCAATAGCATTCGGGGTGAAACCAAGGTAAAGACCACGAAGACCTCTACACTGAACTATCTCATACAATGTTTGAATAGTTCCCGTTGTTTTGGGTCTACATAATAAATAAGTAAGTACTGATGACGGTCGTTTTTATGAAATAACAAACAATAATAATAATAACAAAAACTATAAAATTCAACCAGGGAATTTATGTTTTTCAAACATCTAGAATCGTTTATTAGAGAGTGACTTTTTATGCTCACTGAGTGACTAATAGTAACAAACATTTTGCGACAAAAAATTGACTCAAATGAGATCAGTTACTAGTATACAAAAGAATGTAAACTTCAGAATCTGAGCTTAGTAAACATGTGGTTTTCTTAAGGGCCACGCCCGGAGCTTTCGACCTAAGGGTCTGATCCACAAGGCAGTGAAGCAACGTTAGGAGATGCAGTCCCACGGTAGCCAGTGACCAACGATTGGTTCATATACCATTTCTTTCTTCAGGATCCTGGAACCCACGATTATTGGGATATGCAGTTGGTTCAATCAAAACAAGTGTTCCTTAAACCACAGAAACTTTATTGCAGAAACTAGTACATTGACTTTACTGAGACCACCAAAAAATATGTAAAACGCAGCGACCGAAAAACCAATCCCAACCTGCATGCGATAACGCCTGTACCTTCATTCACCTGCAATCTGATTTTGGCCAAATCCAATGGATGCAAAACCAAAACGGATACAACTCCCCCAGTAACACCAGCTACCAAGTGCTGCCACTGAGTTTTGTCCAAAAAATTGGTCATATGTTAGTTAGTTTATTGATATCCTCAGAAAAGAATGATGAAATCTTGAGGGAGTGTTTGAGAACTGATTAGTATTTTTAGATTAATTAAGGAGCTAGGAGCTCATATCTAAAGAACGAAAGCGGGAGAGATATGAAGATTGTGGTCTAAAATGTTTATAGAACTTTCAGAACAATTGTATCTTAGTGAATTCAAGAAAATACCAAAAACTTGGTCGTTTAAATTACAAGTTAGGTGGTGGCTTAGCAGTAATAAAGTAAAATACTCGACTATCAAGTATTAAGTAACAAATTCGCCAGAGTAGAAATTTTACCAACCATTATAAAGTAGTTTTAGATTGTAGCAATACCTGTTTACTAATTTGTAATGATTCAACATCTACGAACTTACAGTAACAAGCAGTGCGTGTATCCTGACATACTCTAAATTTTTGGCCCTAACAGAGCCAATTTAGCTAAACAGTAGCCAATAGGAAATGTCCAATAGACTGAAACGAGAGTCTACATAAAGGCCTGAAATTCTATTTTGCGAAACGTGGCCATTAAGAGTAGAGGATACTCGTAAACTAGTATTTGATCACAGATGTCTTAGAAATATTGCTCACATCTGCTGAGATCACTGAGTAAGTAATAGTGAGGTTAGATAAAAGGTATTAGGGAATGACGGTAAATCAGTTGATGAGGTTGTGAATCTTCATCGACTCAGATGGTTGGGCCACGTATTACATACGCTCAACCACCGATTACCACAACGCGCAATGTTGACTAGTGTTGGAGATGGGTGGAAGAAAGTTAGGGACGACCAAACCCAAACGTGGCATCAGTCCTTGAAGTCACTAACTTTTGGTTTGAGCCACTTGGTTGGAGACTCTGGGTGACATGGCTCAGAATTGATCACAATGACATCGATGTATACGCTCTTTGTTTTCCTTTAAACTGTGAGATTAAAATTGTTTTATATCTTTCTTCCCTCCTGTACTATATCCTTACACACAGTTTTCCTTTTATATATCACCACCGTTGAATTAACTACTTTGTGAATTTAATGTTCATTTTGTTGTGCTAATGAGGTGTGGCAACTTGGACTAATGCATATACGTGCCTGGTCCTACGTTGTAGCTGACTAACTGGATGTTATCAGAACCCAAAGGAATGTAGACAGGGAATATATCTATGCATAAATTAACAAGGGCAACATGACTGTATACAATCCCCAGTCTATAAACTGGGGATTAATTCACTATAGTTACTAAGTTTGGCGTTGAAGACTGATTTGATATATCAGATATATTTATGTCATATATGTTTACTTTTGGGATTTATTGAATTTTTTCTTTCAGTCAACAAACTATAGTTTGTATACTGTATACAGTAGTAATTACTAGTCTTAACATGCACCAATTCTTTTAAAGTATACCTGTGAATATTAGATAAAATAGGGTGTAATGATTTATAAGACAGATTATTCGCCAAATGATTTTCCAAGACTAAAGTCTTGGAAAGCTTATAAGCTTAAGAATTTAAAAACTGCGAGTTAGATGATAAAATTTGAATTATACACAGAGACTACGAGCATATTTAATTTACATCAAATAGTTACCTAGTAAACTATTCACGACGGTAGCGCTAAAGTTCGTAAAGAGAGTGAGCATTGCTCAAATGGTTCAAATGGTTGTGAACGGAATGGAAGAAGCTGAAGATGGCACAGGTATTCAGGGTTTGACAACGCTTTTACCAGCAACACCAGCAACACCTTAACGGGGTTCCGTGTTTAGTAGCTGTGGATCATCACTTTTGATACGAGAAAATTCGTTAATCTTAACAGAGAATGATGCCGAAAAGGCTTCAGCTTTTTCGGAATACTTTAGTAAAGTGTTTTCTATCGGTAATGAGGAACGACCAATGATTCGACGCGACCATGACGGCTCGCTGATGGATCCTGTAGTCATTGAGAAAGATACTGTTTTAAGGCTACTCCAGCATCTCAAACCTGTAAGTCCAGTGGTCCTGACGATATTCATCCTAGGATTATGAAAGCCATATCAGATGAAATTGCTGAACCATTAGCGATACTATTCGACATGTCTCTGAGACAGTCCAGACTTCCTAGAGACTGGGAAGACGCCATAATAAGTCCGGTGTATAAGGCTGGGGGTAGGGATTTAGTTAGTAACTATAGACCCGTTAGCCTAACTAGTGCAGTTGTAAAACTGATGGAGAAAATCATTCGGATAGTTGTTATAAACTATGTTGAAGGGCAAAATCTTTTCTCCAGGGAACAACATGGTTTTCGGAAAGGCCTATCTTGCTTGACAAATCTTCTCATTGCACGAGAAGATTGGGCTGCGGCAAAGGATCGGAATGCTCCTGTGGATGTGAATTTCATAGATCTAAGTAAAGCCTTTGATAAGGTTTCCCACTCTGGTCTTAAATTCAAACTGAAACGTTTTGGAATCCATTATACAGTCGTCGATTGGATAAGTAACTTTCTCCATGACAAGAGACAAATGGTAAGGCTTAAAGGGACTCTCTCCTCGTGGGTACCTGTAAAAAGTGGGTTTCCCCAAGGTACAATCCTGGGTCCTCTTCTCATTTTACTTTATGTAAATGAATTGCCAACTGTAGCAAAATCATCCGTTCTACTCTTCCCTGATGACATAAAGATTTGGAGACCCATACATAGTATGTCAGATAGGATAGTATTACAGGACGATCTTAGCTCATTGGTGGCATGGTTAGATAGGTGGTCACTAGAAGTAAATCCTAATAAGAGTGTAGTGATGCAATTAAATAACTCTGATGAATCGTATGACTATACACTCAAAGTAAGAAACTATAAAGATCTAGGAGTCATATTAAACAATGATCTCAAAACGACTAGTCACTGTAAGGCTGCTGCTGCGAAAGGCTATAGGGTATTATAGTCAATCCGTAGGTCTTTCCAGTATTTAGATGATGAAATGTTTAGATTACTATACCCGATTTATGTGCGACCACATTTAGAATACGGGATTCAAGCAGCGTGTCCTTGTTTCAAATATGAAGCAGATATGCTAGAAAGAGTCCAACGACGAGCTACTAAGATGGTACAAGGTCTATCTGGCCTATCTTATGAAGACAGACTGAGACACCTTAACTTATTTCCGTTATCTTACCGTAGAATAAGGGGTGATCTAATATTGGCCTATCGTATACTGAACGATGATCTTGGTATTAACATGTCTTATCTTTTGCTTCCGTCTAGAACCGATCATTTGAGAGGACATTCGAAGAAAGTTCAAAAACTGTGATCAAACCGTTTACGTCTGGAGTTCCCTTTCTCGCACCGAGTAGTGAATTACTAGAATTCTCTACGGGAACACGTAATATCAGCACCATCTGTTAATATATTCAAAACGAGATTGGAACTCCATAGCACTACAATCTGCATGGGTTAATATAGGTCGACAGACCTCCTATGCTTATTACTGAAGACTGAAGACTGAAGACCTCTAGGCAGGAACCTAGGTATATCGCCAATAAAAGAGAAAAAAGAAACTAGTAAATCATAGTAAGATACTACCCATAGTCCTTAAGAATATGTCAAGCTTTCTCTTAAAGGACTCCTGGGAAGTTGTTTGGACTAGCTCAGCCGGCAGAGAATTCAAGCAGATTATTTCAAACAGTTCTACTGCTTATGGACAGAATCTGCAATCTGAATAGAAGAAGCATTTATTTGATGGGTTTCGTATCTATTAGCAGTGGATCACAGATGTCTCCTATTAGGAACCTGGCTATATTTATAGTAAAATGGAAAAAAACATTAGAAATGCGCCTATGATGGGCCAGAAAAAGCTGAGAACTGAGTTGCCAGGAAATTCCTTCGGGCAGGAACTAGCTGATGTGGTTATCATATTTGCCCCGGTGCAACATGAGTAAAAGGTAACTAGATACGACCTGGACTCTAAGTCATTCTTACTAAATCTCACTACTTACAAACTTAAGCCTGTTACCCACTAAGCAGGAACATAAGTCGTTCATCATCCGACTATGTCCTCAGCTATCCGTTCCAGCTGTTTCCAGTTGCTACTCATCCTTTTCATATCTACTTCCGATTACCGACGCATTGTGTTCATTGGTCTCCCTCTTTTCCGTTTCCCTTCATGATTCCAAGTTAGCTCTTGCTTCGTGATACAGTTTGATGATATCCAAAATATATGTCCTATCCACTTCTAACATCTTTTCCCGATTTCCTGATCAGCTTGAAGCTCGTATGTTCTCTCCCAAAGTAAACTGTTGTTGATGGTATTCGACCAACGGATATTGAGTATCTTGCGTAAACAATTGTTTAGAAATACTTGTAATATTTTGACGATGCTTATAGTAGTTCTCCGAGTTTTAGCTAGCTATAGTAGAACTGTCTCGATGGTCATGTTGAAGATTGTGACTTTGATGTTGGTTGACAGTTCTTTTGAGTTCCATATGTTGTTCAATTGCATGAGTGGTGTCCTTAGTTTGCTGAACCTGCATCAGACCCTCCACGTTCGTCGATGATACTGTACAGGCAGATACGTGGAGGTTTTACCTCTCCCAGAGTTTCACCATCAAGTGTGATTGGGTAGGTGTTCTCTGCGTTTGTATTTGAGGATCATGGTTTTTCTTTTGTGTATGTTGAGGCTTACTGACACAGAGACTGCTGCTAAACTGTTTGTCTTGACCTGAATTTGTTCATGTGTATGGGATAGAATAGTGTAAAGTATGTATGCCACGTGTATTTTGTTCGTTCTTGATGTGTCCTCTTAGTCGCCCGGGTCTGATAGGAAGGATAAAAGGGAATACATTTGGTCCAAAATTGTTTTTTGGTATTCGATAAACCAAAATGAGATCACTTCTTGACTTGTGATATGATAGAACAAAAAGATCTAGCTCCTGAACCAACTCTATGTATGATAAACACCGGTGTTCTGAAATTGCACGAGTACATTTCCAAGATGTCTGCGTAATCTTTTAGATAGAGGGTTTCAGCCTTAACCCAGTTTTGAAGTTTGGATCTCACTAAGGTTGTGTCTATCGTAGCCAACATATTTGTTTTACTTAAGAAATGTCCATCTAAAACCCTTAGTTTTCTAAACCGCTTAGTTGATACATCATGGCAGTTGGCCGTGGTCTTAAGATCTTAAGACTCATTGTCACCTCAAGATCCGTGTGAGACTGAACTAAGAGCATGGGACATTTCTCTCTGATGTATCTACTTTCCTTTGTATGCCAGATGTGCATGTCGACACACTTGGCCATCAGTCATTTTTATAGACCAGCTAATCAGGGCATCTAATTCCACCTAAAGCGCACATGCATCTGCATCTCCTCTTATTTCTTGACAGATCATTATATCATCAGCGTATGGCAGAATCGAGGACTCAACTATATTTAGTAGTTTGTTCTCATGCAGTACAAAAAGTAAAGGGCTCAAGACAGAACCATGTGGCAATCCACTAAGTACTGGTTTCCAGGAGGAGCATTTGGAATTTATTCTTACTTTCTGTTCACGATCTATCAAGGTCTGGTAATTATTCGATTTTCCAGCCTCAAGGGTAGTCCATTTATCGCCACCTCATCAAATGCTTCCTTCAAATTTGTAGACGACATCCTCTAGTTTTGCATTATCTAGTAACTACATCCATTGCTCACTTGATATATGAGAGTTTGTTGTGCGAGATCATCCTTTCCTGGTACTATATTGTTTTCTGTTTAATAAGTTGTTGGTTCCCAGAAATTTCGTTGTGGTTCTTTGGCTATTCTTTCCAAGTTTTAACTACAACACTGGTGAGGCTGACAGGTCTGTTGTTTGATGATAATTGTCTTGGTCCTGTTTCATGTATTGGTGTGCCAATTACATCCTTCAAGTCCGTAGGTAACTCAACCTAATCGAGTGACACATTAAACGTTGTAGCCAGCGTGGAGGCAACGTGTCTCAAGATTTTAGGTTATAGTTCATCCATTCTTGTTGCGTTTTCCGTGTTCAAAGTGCTAATGGCCTTGAGTTTGCCGTCACTGAAAATTCCATGTTAAATACATATATTGATCAATTCATAATATAACTTCGAGACGTTAGCCTTACCTAGCGACAAGAAAAACAAAAATTTACAAACGTAATCGAAAAAGAACTTATTAGTCTTGATTTCTTTTTTTCAGATTTCTGTTCGAGAAATCTAAACAGCTACAAACTAAAAGACTAGGTTCTACTTCGGAAACACAGGTCTCGAGTGATATTCTTTTTGCTCATTTTATTCGGAGTTAAGTTCGTTCTAAAAATTATTTAAGTTTTTTGTTTTGTTTGTCTTGTCGATATTTTCCACTTGACCTTGAAATGTGATAAGTTTTTAAAAACTGCAACTAGATTTCAATATCTGTTGTGAACTGAAATATTATTTTGTATTTAGACCTTCTCATACACACGGTTCCATTGATTATATTCTTCACTTAACAAAAGTCATTGTTCTCTATTTTTAATTAAAAATTCAGCAATTGACATTCGTCAGTATTACGAACAGATTTTCATAATGTAAAATACATTTATTTAACTTAATTTCGAGCTCATCAAAGTGCCTTACTTTGGATTATGCATGGAAGATGTCTTTTAATGACTTCAGTTGACTCAGGAATTTTTCACTTGAACTGTGAATGATAGAACTAGACGCTTCCCCAAAGAAAGGTCGATGGGAGGAGGTGTCCAGTTTATTACCTTCTTCCAGGTGCACTATTGGTAACAAACCCTTTGAGATGAATAAAGCCGGTGGAGTGTTATGCATTGATATTGAAAATTTAGGTTCGTTTGGGGGGAACCAACAGTCAAATTATTTTAGTCCGTTACAACCACATTACAGTATAACGTTCAAAGACTATCCTTCAGAATACGGAGCACTACCTCAAGCCGATTGTGCAGCACCAAATGTTGAATTTCTTTCATACCCTCATTCCATGGCCGATTCACAAGGCAATCGCGACGAACTCAGCACTCCAATAACAATAACTGGATTTGATAATTCTTCTGGCATAAGCGCGGATTCCTATGTAAGTTTGTTTTGTTGTAAAATGATATTATAACACACATGTTGATCGGATTCAATTTATTATTAGTAACTAAACTTAAACAGCCCGAGTTTCATGGACGCGGATGCTGATGGAAATAGTCTATATAAATTATTGTATTCTTTATTTACTTAAATATTAGGTATCTTTAAAACGTCTTATAGGCAAATCTCTATTGGTTTCAGTTGCTAACTACCAAATAGAAAAGATAAACCTTTGTCCTTGTTTGATTGTCCACGGTTTAAATCTTTCAATGGTAAAAAATTTTCCAAACCAACCTCCCTAACCAAAAGTAGGAGACCACTGGTGCCGTTAGGTAAGAACCTTGGGATGAAAGAATTAAAACGAGAAACAAAACTCTTGGAGTATTGACACTCATTATTAAATTGAGTTCAACTGAGATCTCCAGAGTTTAGCTTAATGGTGTTTTCTCTAAGTTTAGCCTTTAGATTAAACCTTCACATTAAACTTGGTCAAGGACTACAAGTATTTGGGGCATTATCAGTGTATAGGTCCGCACGTTATTTATCATTGTACCTGTAAGTTTGTAACATTTATGTCAGTATATGCTAGATTAATTTTTCTTATTGACGTGAAGAAAAGAAACGGTCGTGCAAAACTTTGTTGGTGAACTCAGATATAATTGCAAAAAAGTGTTGTGTTTTATTACGGCAGCCATAAATTATTTGCCATTTAGTTATTTAAACCGCTAAAAAGTTCTTATAAGTGACTTAAGACTGTTTGGCTAACTGTAGAGAAGTGTCATTTGTATCTGTAAATGTCTAATTCAAGTGCTGAAATCAAAGTTAAAGCAGCCTAGATAGCTATCACGTGATTTCTATGGCCTTTATCGTTTTTCTAACACAGTGTGTTTTTTATAAAGCACATTTTTAATACATATCTTGTGTTTTGAATAGCATCAAAGTTGTTTTATTCTAGTGTCTAGGGATAAATTTAGGAGAAGTATTACTAAAGTAGCATCAAAAGAACTTAAATTATTTATGTATTGCTCGTTGAACAAGAATCGTGTCAACTAGTTTAGTCTAATGAATTATCTGAAATTTTTATTACCCAAGAAAATGTGATCACAATATTATGTACATTTGTGTTTGAAGTTTGTACTGGTTTGACCCAATGATTTTGAGTGATTATCAATAACAGCAGTTCAAGACCATTTAGCGTATTCTTTTGACTCTAAGACAATTAAAATTTAATTCAAAGTAGTTTATCATCCACTTCCTTAAAATTTTTCAATCTAATAAACAGGACTAAGGTTTTGATTCTGAAGTATAAAGACTTTCCAAAAATTTAGTGACAAATATGTCACAAAGAATATGCTTCCCAATATTATTTCATAATACTAATAGAACACTCTAAACTGAATATTTTCATTTGTAATATGTAAATGAAGGACAAATAACACTGCATTATTCATAATCATGGATCTAAAATTTGTGATTCAACATATTTTATATTTTTGATTAAGTAAAGAAGCTTTTTGATTGTTTAAAATAATGATAGACAAGCAATCTTCATCAAAGCAAACGCTTAATATGAAATATTTTATGATAATACTAAACGGATAAAAATACATCTAAATCTACATACCACGAGATGTTAATGCGGCTATTATTTTTCATAAGGACTTTTGTAGTTAATGTTTAATAATATTGACTTAAACCTGAATCTATGGAATATATTACATATATCAACTTTTATGATTGTTTAACTTAATCAACATATTTAACCAAACACATATTATAGAACAAAAGTATGCAATTTAAATAGAATTCTTTAGTTAAGTAGAAACGTGTTTATTAAAGTCTGAAAAACAAAAAAACATTTTGAGTATCTTACCTCACAACAAAGTGAAGTGTGCAAAACGCAAAGAAGTTTATAAAAGAAGTCACAGCAATTATATTCTGACGACTCACAATAAATATTCAAACGAATAAAAAAGTTTAGCGGTGCATTACATTTTTACAAGCAGTAAATTTTTGTCTTTTTCCTGGTAATGGTGTTCAGATCACAATTACTTTACAGTATTTTTAAAACAACACAGTTTAGATTTCGGGCTAGTTTGTTTTAAAATCCAAAAAATATTTGGCACTTTGACTAAAGTATAAATTTTCAAGCTTAACCAAGCACACTGCATGAAGGACTCTAAAAATATTACACTAGTTTGATTTGGCTCACATTGCTACACAGGTGTGGCGCGACAAACGGTCATCACAAAACTACCAATTTCAACGTTAAATCATTATTAAATTCTTGGTGATCCCAACAAATATGCCGGACTCAAAATATGTAGCTAATTCAGACATTTATTTTTCACTGATCTGAATAATACCAAGTGCTAAAAAGACTGCCTGAAATCCACGGGATAACTAGATTTAGACAAGTTAGTTGGCATATTCTAGAATCATTTTTTAGCTATGTATGCTTATTCACCCTTGGCTTTTATTCATACGTTGAGCTTAATATTATCCCATAATTTCCGTTTAAAAAGTACGTTTCTTTGCTTAAAATATTCCCAGACTTTCAAACTATTACCAGCATTGTAATTTAAACTCATCGGCAAGTAATCTGGCTAATTTCTTCAGGCCATGATGGAGTTAAATGTGTAAACCCAAACTTTATCAAATCTATATCAGATCGTAGGTCGCCAATGGCTAACGAACGTTGATACGTTTTGTTCTGAATAGACAGTATATATGTAATTTAATTTCTTTTATTCTTAAAGACGTGCTAAAAAATATTTTTCCCTTATTGTTTTTTCTATTTAGGCTATTCAGGCAAAATAAAAAACGATACCTTGATATCCGTAAACGTTGATATGTTAGTTGATGCTTTTAAAAAAAGTATTCAAGACAAGATATTACACTTGATACCTGATTTATGTTATTCACTCACTACCACAAATTATGTCTTGAGTGTTTTAAAACTATATACTAGAGCATTTAAATGTAATTATAAAAACAATCGTTATAAAGTTTGATATATTAAGCCATTTTTCACCTTTTGGATTACAGGTAGTTATTTACTTAGGCACTAAGATTAGTAAAGATGTTTGTGATAGCGATGTAGATTTTGATCACAGATATGTTTTTCAGCACCAATACGTATTTTAAAATTCCATATTTTTAATGCTAACTATTTAGTGCTTTGATTTACTGAGTGTTATTCTAGATGAATTTTCATAAGAATGCGCTTTCAGTTCCTTGAATTGATCCTAGTTTTTTGGTAAATTACTCAGTGTTATTTGGTTCTTAATAAAGAAATGCATTTACTACTACATAGTCTAAGTTTCTCATTCTTTGCTGCTAGAAGTGGTTGGTATGTCACTCATATTGTTTTAGGGAGATATTTATAAATGTGAAGCTCTTCAGGCGTGAAACATTTAAATTCGTTTATTAATATTTAAGAGATTTCAAATCGAAACATTTTGACGAAATCTAATGCTTATTCTTTGCTAGTGTCATGTATATCTTACTAGAAAAGAATAATTTCATCTTTTGTTCATTGTTATTGTATAATACTTTGAATCGTTTCGTTTAAATATGTAGTTAATAATCATTAGACTTTTAGTAGTATATAAATAAAATCAAAGTATTACTTGGTATTATCAACTAATGTAGATATTAAATTAAAGGATAATTTCTGTTATGAGGCAAGAAGTTCGTCACAAAATGTTAGGCTCGATAATAGTCATTAAATGATCGACAAATAGATTTAGAATGAATTTTTTTGAATTTCACATGGGAAACTGACAGATATTTAGTGAATCCAGTCCGGAGGTCAAACAGTTATTATTGATCATATTTGGTTTGTACTGTTTTCAATTAACCAATGTTGAATGCGTAAATTTCTTAAATTCTAAATAAAAATTTTGGAAGTAGGATTGTTGGTGCAGGATTAGAAGATCATATGTTCAATCTTATGTGGGATCACTGGTGTACGATAGCGAGAATTATCTAACATGGACTAAGCCTTTATCGATGGCTCCATCATTTTATATTGTTTATGAGTGATAATAATTTGTGATGATTAGAGTCTGCTGAATGAATGAAGTGCAAATCTCTGAATTACATGTTAAGTTGCAATCAAAGTGTACAACACAGGATTTGCCTTTTCAGTAATCGACTAATTATTTTTATATAGAATGAAAAGGTATTTTGACATCCTAATATACTGTTGCGATTCCTGAATGTTCGAACTCATCTATTTAGTATTAAATTAATATTTATGACCATGCATAAAGATTCTTGTTCTTGTCTCGCAAGTATTTAGTAATGATTAAAGTGAATATCCGTTAAAATATGGATCACTTGGGTTCCAGACTGTATCGGTGCTCACAAAGCCCTTGTTTGGACAGAGGTTTATCAAGTGTAGTCTTCAATATCAACAGTGAGAAAACAGAGATCCCAAAAAATAATTGTAGACACCGAATTCGTTGCATAAGCTGGTAACTATTTTTAGTCAGTAGTCGAACTGACAACCCATCAGTATTTAAAGGATTGACTCTAGGTTTAAATATCAATCTAAACTTCACTGGAATGGAAATGCATCCTGGTGACATCTCAAGCATCTCAAACGTCAGTTTCTGGACTCGATTGTTAATTGTTACTCAAAATATAAATCATATATGCTTATAAAATGAGTTTGTGTATATTCATATTCATAAATGAATAAAAAAAAACAAATTAGGGTGTTGATTTTGTCGTTACATAAATCGGAAGATCATATGATTAACTACCTTTTCTTCTGCTGTTTTAATGGTGTCCTTAACCAGTTCAATTCCGAACAGAAGTCTGTATTTATGAGATTCTCTTTCAGATAGAAATTATTTTAAGGTCATAGATTTACAAATTATAAACTGTTATATGTTAGTATTATTTAATTCTTAGTTGTCATTATTTCTGTGCCTCACTCTTTTTCTAGAGGAGAATAATTTATCCTGAGTGATGTAGTATAAATATATA